GTTTTCATTCGAGGCGCCGGGTTTAGTAGTAGGCGTAGGATCGCGAAAACGCTCTGTGGGAAATGTTTGAATCTCAGACCATCACCGAGATTGAGATCAGGCGGGAAGTCCATCAAGAAAAACCGAGTTTCAGTGAAATTCGGACGCCGAGATCATCGCCTGGTCTCATCTTTTTCGCTACCGCGTAGAGGCAATCACGTGGAGAAGCATCGCGTACGCCTGAGCAGTAACAAAGGCTATAGTTCCCCACCGTGGCGAAAGGGTCACTGGTCGAACGGGCGGCGTAAACGATGCAGTGAAGATGCCCCTTTCTTCGAGTTCAGCGGCTGCGGGTCAAAAGTCGCTGCTACTGAGTTCGGCGAACAGGTTGATTCGTCGTCCTTTTGTCCAGACCGCAACCCTCAGAAGCTGTGGAATGCGCGACTCCCCAGAGTTCGCTTGAGAGAGTGCGGCCTCGCTAATACGAAGAGTGTATTTTTTGTATTTAATTTTGAGAATAACTTTTTCTAGTTTTGTCTTCTGCCGATGAGCAAGGAAGGGTTCTAAATTTTTGCAAGTTTTACTTGCCTTGTCATCGAAGAAGCTCACATTAATATGTTTGTTCGATTAATTTTGTTTTCATAATATTTCAAAAGTAACAGTTAGTGTGTTTTAATTTAACAGATAAGGCTAAGTAAAAGCCCCGGTTTAAAATACCTTTTGTGTTTGACATTACATTTATTATGCGCGTCAGTGTAGGTCAAGTTTGCCCTTTGTTTTGTTTAACGCGCGCAGGTTTGATTTTCATTGTTATTCACTTACTTTTTCAAGCGCGTTTTATCTTGTTGTGATGATCATTGGCTGCGCGCATTGAAGTGAGAGCTTGGGGAGGACGAACTTTGTCAAGTTTGACAATCTTATGCTTGCAGGCGACGCAAATGTGCGTGATTCGGGAGTTCTTGGCGTACTAAATTGTAGTTTCGGTCCTAATTTGAGCAATCCCCAGAAGCCTCGATCGTCCAGAATCTGCCCAGGGTCACAATCGAGAATCGCTCACGAAAACAAAAATTATGATTGGTTTAGCAGTGTCATGCACTGTAAAGGGGTGTCTGCATTGTGTATTCCTCCCGAGATTCGTTGCTCGTGATGCTATTTGTTAGCCCAGCGTAATCTCGAGGAAACATTTGGTGTCTGCTGGTCTGGCGACTTGATCAGCATTTGGAGGGTGCTTGCTATGGCCGGAGTGGTTCGCCTTTGTGTTCGACTCCGTCGTTCCAGTGAACATCTGCAGGCCTTTGGAAGTCTCAACGGGCGGAGAGAGCGGAACGGCTACCGATGGTCAACCAGCATCCCTCCTTCCGAGCCGCGCTGACGGCTCAAAACTCCGGATGCATTGTCTGGCGGCGGGGATGCTGTTGTGCCACAGACATGTTCCTTGTTCGGGAGCGCGTCTCGCAGGATCGAGCCCTGTTTCGACAAACTGTCTCCCCCCCCCCCCCCTCCCAGCGCCGCCTTCCGTGCAGAAGAACCGTGCAGTCCGGGGATAACGTCGTTTCCTCCGCCGGACCACTTTGCAGTTCCGGGTATGGCTACGTCTCCCCCTCCGAGCCCGAGAACTGGTCTTAGAGAATGGACCAAAGACGCTATTTAAGGCCGAGCCGGCCCCATGTTAGGAGGATTTTGCCCCAGCCGACGTTGTCGTGCTAGCTGGCTCTGTAAAACGACAACCTGCGATAGTAAACGCTACTTTTGTTGCTGTTTTCCAAACGGATTGCCTCCCTGTTTCACCTTCGGGCTAAGGCTTCATCGAAGTCCGCTCGACGGCCTGCCGCTCTTCGCCACCGCTACCATCGCGACAGAGCAAAATTCCTAACAGCGTCTTTCTTTCTGTTTGAACCAGGTGGTTTTAGTTGCTAGTCCATGCTCCTACCTATGTGTGCATGATTTCTGCTTGAGATGTGCCCTGGAAATTTCGAGCTTCTCGCCGTTCTTAACGTAACTCTGAAATTTGTTACTTTTGCTGAAACAATGCCCACTAAACGCTAAACTACCTCTGTGAAGGCAAGTTTCACTTTCGTGTTAGAACGATTCCTGTAAAGGGGGATCAGCCACGTTTTTTTTTTGTTTAATGCGCTTAAGGAGAGGTTGGAGATCATACATGGCTGCTTGTACTCCTTTTATTTTACGTAATTCGCTAATTAAAGTATTCGAGTCACTATACATGTTGTCAATTTGAATATGCCACATCTTTTGAAAACTCGGCTGGATTTCGACAAGTTTCGTGGCACAAAGGGCAACGAAGGTGTTGCTATAGCGTGTCTGAAGTCGTTTGGCATCTGCAACCGCTAGTGCTTGAAGTGCACATGCATGTGAGGGCCCGACGAGTGTTTTCTATCTTCTATTTCGCCTTGTTGTTTACCGCTTCATTCCCTCTCCCCTATACACGGTAGAAAACCAGGAATATGTGATGAACCTGCCTGCTTGCACTTCGTTCCGCTTTTTCTCAATTAAGTTGACCAATCATGCAAGTTAGGTCCTTGCGCAAGTAATGCGGAACTTTTTTGAGCTACTCAACTTGACGAATCATTAATATGTGTTGTGTTCCGTGGGTTACTACCACTGCTAATAATAAACGAATAAAAAACTTGCGTAAGTTGTAAAAATAAATAGCTCGTGGCCTACATGCGAGTGATTTTCTAGTATCTCCCCAATATCTGAAAAGTGGCTTTATTTGGAATAAAACAGTAAGTACTTGCAATTTTCACGTTCATTACACAGATGTGTAGCTTAGCCCCGAGGTGTTTTTACCTTTTAGACACATGTTTGATCAATTTTTTAGGGTGTTCAAGCGTTTAGCTATATACACAGAAATCCTTTGAACCTTACCGGTGGGGTGTTATTTGCTCTTGTGGAAACTTTATAATTTGCTTAGAAACTGCACAGTCACACGCACAATATTTATTCTTTTGTCATTTGCACACTATACAACTTCCCGTCGTTGGCTGATACAAAGTTTTGTCACAATCTTTGTTATGGTTGTTTTGCACTTTATACCATATTCTTGCTGCTTGTTCTTGCGATTGTTTCTTGCGATTGTGTTTCTTTGGAATCGTTTTTTTTTGCGTCAGGTAACTGCATCAACAGCTTCACTTTAAAATCTACTTTCGGTCAGAATGTAGCTACGACCATATCTCAAGCAGTCGTCGTCGTCATCATCATCATCATCATAATCATAATCATCATCATCATCCTTCTCATCATTTTCAACCTGTTTATGTCCACGTAGGACGAATACCTCTCCATAAGGATCACCAGTTTATTCTATTCTGTGTGAAATGATTTCATTTTATCGCGACAAACGTCCTCATTTTTGTCATTCTACCTAACTCTGCCCTTTTCGACTGCGTTCACAGTCCCTTGGTAACCATTCTGAAGCAATTGCTGTCCACCGGTTGTCTACTTTAAGCACTACGTGGCCAGCCCAGGTCTGTTCATGCCAACTAGAAGATCTGCTACTTTTGTGTGTTCCCGGATTCATTATGCCGTCATTGGATCTCTTAATGTTACCATCATTTTTTTTCGTTCCACTGCGCGCGCGTGGTCCTCATCTTTTTTCTCTAATTGCTTTCTTATCCTCCATTTTCAGGCCAGTAGTTATAACTAGCAGTATTCGGTATGCACTGATTTTTGCACTTGTTGCTTTAGTGACAATGACAGAATTCCTGACACCATTTGGGAGTTTCTGCCCGAACGCGCTCCTGCCCATTTTTATCCTACAATAAACTTCCACTTCGCAATTAGGCTCACCTGTTAATGCAGTTGTTGTAGGTATACATATTCACGTATATACTCCAACGTAAGGTTTGCAATTGGCAACTCTTTTTTTCACGCCAGGGTATTCAACGTTATTTTTCCTTCATAATATTCATTTCTAGGCCTACTCTGATACTTTCTTAGTTTGACTCGTCAATCATTTTTTTTTATTCATTTCCATCGTCGGTGAAGTGTACTATGCGATATGCAAATTGTCGGTTGTCGAGACATTCTCGTCAAGTCTGACGGCCACTTCTTTTGAGTATAAGTTTTTAAATGCTTCCTCTGGACATCCAGCGAATTACATTGGGGCTTTTATATCCCCTAGTTTGTCATGGCGACTTTTTGTCAGTTGAATTGTATCCCCTTTTTTGACATGGTGAATTTCTGGGAGTTGGTTTTACCGGTGGTTCTTATAGCAGAAATGTGTTATCGTTACAACGTCTGTTTTCTTGTCCGTCTTATCTCTAGAAAGCTTGGGCATACACTCGCCATTGTTTATCGAGTCTACTCTGGGCGTGCCAGGATTTTCCCCAAAACCTGACAAGCACAGAAACAATAGAGGTACAGTACGGGCAAAAACCGAAAGCGAAAGCAGGATATATGCAAGGTCTGTATGGTCGCACGCATTGTTCTCAAAATGAACGAGAATTGTTTGCTGAGTGGGTTAGTTTGTTTTCTTTGATTTTGTATTTATTACACTCCTCCGTAATAATAAGTCGATTAACAGCGTGTACTACTTCAGGTTCTTCCAGTACTACTGACAAAATTTAGAGATCACTTGATCCCAAGAACGGCATATCGTTGTCCGCTCGCGTTACTGCTATCGATATTCACTGGGCTGTATTTACAAAAACACTTCATGTCACATTAAGCACCTTGGGATCGCGTGCCGATATCTTTCGGTGTTATTTACTTGGATTCGCTGCAAGTATAGAAATGCACATGAGCATGTTAAAGAAATTGCAGTGGAGTGCTTACGGCATTGTTGTACTGGGAAATCGGTATTAAAAATGGAAAGTAGTAGTGAATCTTATAATTCAAAATATCATAAACTTGACAACACCTGGCCTTGAATTTAAACAGTGTTTTGTGAGCACACGAAAACAAACACTCCGGCCATCGATTTCGTTCTTGGGTTAATGACAAATACAAATAATAATTAAGGTAGCGCATCTCGTGGTAGCTAAAAGGTCTCATTCATTTACCTGTACGGACTGTCTGGAGCACGTAGCTCAGCAGGAAGCCGCAGAAGAAGACTTGAAACATGGTCGTAGTCCTGAAAACGCAAGTCAACGTAAGTTAGATTGAACTGGTACGTTTGTGAGTATGAAGACCATTTACGTAGTCAATAGCAAGTTGTTGGTTTCAATTGGTTTCAATGTCGTGCCCAGGTGAATGCAAACACAAATGTCCGGTATTTCATGCGTGAAAACCGTGATATGATTATGGAGTCCACCGCACTGGAGGACTTTGGAATTTTCTCACCCCAGGTGTCCTTCAAACAGAATATAGACGAAAAAAATATTTTTCGAGTTTTGTTAAAGAACAGTTTCGAATCCCGAAAACACCATTCTTACTACGAGGTGACGCTTGGTAAGCGAGAAAACACGCGAAAAGAAAATGCGCATGGAGATGCTCCCTTTAAATTCCCGCGCCAAAAACCATGATGTCATTGATTTTAAGAGCATCTACCGAGTCGTACGGAGCTTCTGATCGACAAAAATGGAGTGCATAGGCATCTGTGTGTGCAGTAGACCTCACATAGAATGTTTCAGAAAATTTCTTTGAGTCAATGTCACGAAAATACGAAAAATACATTTTGAAAATTTTGGACGTCACGCGAAGGAATTTTGGCACCAAGTTTTTGTTCTGTTCTGTTCTGTTTTAACTGTTTTGCTGTGGAGAGGTTGAGGTGCCTGTTGCCTCGTCTACTCCATATCACAAAGTTCTGCAGCGAAAAATAAAATAATAATACAGAACGGTACCCAAAAATTAAAAATACGAAAAAGAAAAAACATAATAGCACACTGAAACCAGTTCAAATATCAAGCCAATACACAGTTTAAGATTAAAAATGAAACTTCAGCCTTGCTTAGCTCCGCTAATAATAAACTTATAATAGAGAAACTTATGACATTAGAGTTTTCAGGGTGTAGTTTGTCAATCTAAAATAAGTGAATGTTGCTCTTTAGTGTTTCTTTAGAGGGCGCCAACATCGCACGGGCCACTAGCGTTTCACCTTCATCGAAATGAGACTGCTGCGAGCGAACTCATGTGAAAAAAAAAATTGGAAAGAAAAGATAACGTAGTTACTCTACCCGCTGCGAACAGTTTTTCGTAAATTGCTGATAGAGTTAACCAGAGTAAAAACTGATTTAATTTCTGTTAAGAGTACACAAACATTCCAGAAAACACCACTGGGAAAGTTGTGAAATGAACACAAAACGAAATGCAGTCCTGGGCAGATTGTTGAGCAACGCTCATTAGACGTGACAAGCACCGGCGTGCAATAGGCTTAGGCTTACAGGTTAGCAGCTTTGCACTACGCCGTTCCTTATTTGATCTCGCTCTTTACACGGTCCCGGCGAAGCTGTCAACGGGCGAAGGTAAGTAGCCAAACCCACACGCGCTCGCACCAGGAGGTACACTCTTTTGTAAAGCCCGCGCGCGAGTTCTCACGGACATGACATGCAGGAAAAACAAGGCGCGCACACGACGATGCGTCCTACTCACCGTGAAAGCCGCTTCTGACGCGTCAGATCGTCCAGCGACCTTCGTTTAGTGGTTGTTGCAAAAGGGGTGTGCGTCCTCGACGGTGTTGCACGAGTGGTGTGAAAGAAGCGGCAAAGGGGCGTAACCGAAAAAAAAAAAAGCCAGCAGGCGAGAAGGATTTCCTCCAGACAGCAGCGAGCGCTCAAAACAGGCGCGCGCCGGAGAGATAGGTGCGTGAGGTGCGGCAGGATCAGCCAACAAAGGGACACTCTGCAGGCGCCGCGCCGTGGGCAAGAACGATAGAAGTTCCCTTTTAAGAGAACCGGACACTCCGCGCAGTGAGACGCGTCTCCATATCTTTTCGATTCGCTCGCAGGATTTCAAGCTGGACGGTTGTGCCCTCGCGATCTCCGACTTCAGCGTAGCTCCCGCCGACTGGTTCGCCCTCCGCGGTCTCCTGACGCCGTGTAGCTCTCGCATTGTGGCACCCCGCCCTTGGACTGCTTCGACCGGATCCCCACTTTCCTATCTCCTTCTTTTTCCTCTCGTTGGCTGTCTTCTTCTGCTTCTACTTTCCTTCTATCCTTTTTATCCCTCCTTCACCCCACCCCTATAAGGCACTTGCGCCGTGTCGCCTGAAGGCAGACAGAAATTAGGTGCCTTTTTCCTCTTCATTGTAACCACTACCACCACCATATCTTTTCGTCATGTCGTGTCGTCTCCGGCGTGCCCCAGGGAGCTCACACGTGCCTATGATGATGATGATGTGATGGCGGCCGGCCCCTTTGCAACGGGGGAACACACTCAGTGTCCTGGCCTCAAAAAGAAAAGTGGGAAAAGAAAAACAAAAAGCACAGAGAAAAAAGAAAGGACCAAGAAAAGGATCCACACTCTTGAACGACACAGGCAAGAGACGCGCACACAGTGGTCTAGGTCCTAAGTCCGCCGTATAGTTGCCCACCACTCAGTAAGCCGCCTTTTCGTGGCTGCGACCGCGTACCGTCCCCCCCCATTGTCGCTGCTAACCTTTGCAGAGGGCACGCCATCTCTCGAGCCATCACTAGTCCGCTTGCGGTTGCTGGGGAGAAAGGAGCTGCCGTGCTTTCCCCAAGGTTACACGAGATCGAGAACGATGGAGCGACGCGATTAATGTTTTGTGTGTGTGTTGATTTCTGTTTGCTTTGGGAAAAAAGTGCGCATTCCATGGAATTCCGTCTGCGTGCACACACGTAATTACCGACCGCATAGCGATATACCAGTGGGCTACAGGCAAGCCGGGAAAGAGGTGGTGTTGGTAGTGCTAGTTTTTTTTGGGGGGGCAGGCGTGTTTGGCCGTCATTGTGGGTGCCCTCCTGTATGTTAGCGTATGAGCTTGTGCAGGCCTGTTTGTTTGTTTCGATGTGTGTTTCTTGGATCTTGGAAAGCTCCGGACTTGCTTTGATGTTACTGAGCTTTCGTACACCGGAGCGAAAACAGTGATGTTCTGCCTTTGGCGCTAGCATGTCCGCGTTGATCAGGCATAAATGGCTAATAATAAAATGCGCACGCACGCACGCACGCACACACACACACACACACACGCACACATACACACACGCACAAACACACACACACACGCACACACACACACACACACACACACACACACGCACACGCACGCACGCACGCACGCACGCACACGCACGCACAAACACATGCACGCACGCACGCACGCACAAACACCCACACGCACACATACACACACGCACACATACACACACGCACAAACACACACACACACACACACACACACACACACACACACACACACACACACACACGCGCGCGCGCGCGCGCACGCGCAAATCGTTATACATTGAATTGGTCTATGATTTTGGAGACTTGGTGAGGTCTGGAACAACGATGACGACAAAAGATTACATAGATACGAGGAAATATACCAAGACAATGGTGGCCACAAAAAGCTTTCACCAGAAGCCGCGATATTCACCTTGGGCCACGGTGATTAGAGAGTAACCAACAAAAATAGAAATACGTAGCATGCGAATGTAAACAAAGGGTCTTTGTGTTTTTATCAATCTCTGTTTATTGTCGAGATGTTGTCTGCAATACCTGAATTTGTAGGTCAGCTTGGGAACGTATTGGTTTATGTCAACAGACTTCAAGAGTGGTCTCGGAGAAGTCATCTGTGGAAGTAAATTTTGTTATCTATTAAAATAGAACGTTTCGACTCATAGCATTAAGTTGTGGTTGCTCACTGCCAGTTTGATTTTTGAGCTCCAAAAGTGCCTTCTGTCCGACCTTGTTGAATATAACCTTCATCAACGGGTTTTTGGGACCACAGAGCCCCCAGAAGTCATCCAAGTCGTTGTTGAACACCATGACGCCACGATAGCCTTCTCTTAAGATGAAATCCATCTGCAATGATATGAAACAAGCAAATACGCAAACAAATAAGACATTTTAGACGCGAAGCATCTTATGCCGGGGGTTTGTCCATCCCTCCTTCCCGCGGTGTCCTCACCCCCATTGAGCATGCGCATCCCCCTTCCACACATCTTTCTCTCCTCTCTCATGCTCCCCTCTCTCTCCCGAGTCGGCGGCAAAGACAACAATACGCTTCCTCGTACACACATTCACTTCGTAGCCGTTAATTGTCGGTCCTGCGGCGTTCCACGTTTCCGTGAGACAGAAAAGGTCTGCTTTGGTCAGCACGGGATCACGTTCAATATCTCTGGCATGTGCGTTGAGGGACCAGTCGTTTAGCAATGGTCAGTCATGATCACCGGCATCAAGCGGTCACCGGCAGCGTGAGTCAGGTAGAGGTTTTGAATTTTCGTACACCTGCTTAAGGCGACGTAGACGAGCTTCTGTGGGTGCCATTCAACATATCGTCGCTGCTTCGCATGGACCATTACGCGCGTAATGGCTTCCCTTGAGCGGGAAACGGCGTAATTTTTTGAAGACGATGGTCTTATCTAGGGGACCTTCGACAGAAAAATTTTGGTCTGTCTGTCCGCCTGTCTGTACATTCGTCTGTTTGTCCGCCCTAACTATACCTTAAACGGCATCAAACGGCTAACCCCATTCGCAGCGCCCACCAATATTGCTCAAGGTCTAGCGTTCATAGTTGTGCGATTTGTCAATTAAAAAGCAGTTATTGTGCATATCTGAGGTGCCATAACAACACTTCGAAGTTTTGTATGTCTGCCTTTATACTAGAAGAGGCACACACAAGTAACTCTAAAGAATGTAGCGTTTATCGCGCTGCGCTGGCAGTGCAGCGCGATGCTCAAAAAGGTGTTTCCAACGTTTTGCCATGACGTCACGGTGGTGGCACCTGCCCGTCGCTTTGCGTTCTACACCTTATCACCTTCGAGACTTTCGCGCATCTTTCTCCGCGGGCTGCACGCCTTCGTTTTCGAAAATAACTGACATATGGCGCTCGTTTCCAACGTGCGTCGATGCGCTCATTCGCCTCTGCTACACGCTCGAGGCACTCTAACGCGGTGCCTCCAGAATGCCATTCAGCGATTTTCTTGGGCAGAACATCAAATAAACGCTTTGTTCACTCTCTCCAGACGCAAGACTATCGCCTTTCGACTACATTTGCGGTGTAACATGAAGATTTGGAACAAATTTTTTCTCTTGTCTACTTCATGGTTATCGTGGTTAGACTAGTTCTGACAGTTGTGGGGTCTCAGTGTGAAGAGCTCCACGCTCTTAGAGTGAACGAACACAGCTGGCGTGGTCTGAACGAACCAAAACAACACACATTTATTTGACTGCTTTTAGAACGACTATATCGCCAGCCGAATTAATATAGATCAATTGTGATCAAAATGCTAAAACAACCTTACACAATATTACCATAGACTCAAGCATAACATACACAAGGCGGTGAATGCTTGATTCACCACGAGGGCCCACAAGCAACGACCCGTGGTGCCGTCCTCACGAGCCTACCGCGAAAGAAAACCATTGGCACCAACCGCCTAACGCCAAAAAGAACCACTTTCTCTCATCTGCCACCACTCAGGCTTGCCACCAAGCGTGATCGCCGGCGCTACCATTCTGACCATGATGATGATGGTGGTGATAAACGCTCGAGATCACAACGCCACTTACCGCTCGATAGTTGTGAACTTGAAATGTGGCCAATATTCGAAACACGCGTGCGATGAGGCGCAAACGACTTTGCAGGGGGTGTTAGCACCCCCACACAGTGTTTACTCGTGGATCTTAGCAAGCGTAAATAATTGTAGCTTTGGAGAAACTATACCAAAAGATGCTACTTCAGACAGAGTATCAAACACTGAGTTTATTTCACAAGCTTCCTTGAATGACTGAACGAAAGAAAGAAAGAAAAAAAGAAAGAAAGAAAGAAAGAAAGAAAGAAAGAAAGAAAGAAAGAAAAAAAGAATCAATGAGTTCTACGAATCTGTGTTTGATCATATATGTGCATAAAATCCCTCCTCCCCCCTCACCATACCCACCCCCACCCTGTGCAAGCTGTTTGCGCCTAGCATGGACACTACGCAGTGCTTTCTGGATCGAATATACTGCAAGATTTCTGCCTTTCAGCTGGTTTTACACTGCATCCGGGATCAGTTTATTTTTTGACCAAGCGACAACGAAATGCAATGACATCATCATGGGACCTCATTTCGATGTTATGACAACGTAAACATTTTTGGCTATCTGTGATGGCGTTTCTGGGCATCTGTCGTGTTGACGCCTGTGTCAAGGGACGCCGGTGGTCGATTTTTATGTTTATGAAGCATGAAAGACTTTCACATTAAAAAAAAAACTTAAAAGGTGTGCTCATACGGGCATAGGAAAATGTCACATAAACGTGCGTAATGGCGTAGTTTATTTTTAATTTTGAGAATTGCAATGAAAACAGTGTCAGTGGTTAGTATGTGGGGAAAACGACAATCTTTTTAGCCACGATGTTTTCCGTGCTAGCTTCTTTTGTTGAGCTGCAGTAGTTGCTGGTACTGGGAGACGAGAAAAAGAATATTTTTCACTTTTCCGTGGTTGCAATAATATTATTTGTGGCGCTTCTCCTCCTTCTGCTCCTGTTTAATTGTTGAACCTCCAAACTTGTTTCTGTTTGAGATGGGGTCGTCCACCGTGCATTAGACTTTTTGGTGATTCCCGTTACCCTGAAGCTTCTCTACGCAGTAGTTAAGAAAAGCCACCTCGCGCTAAGATAGAAAAGCCGTAGGCACACATTCACGAGGGACACCCTATAGCTGTTCAATCGTCTGTAGCTGGTTTTGTTTGGTGAACAGAAGCACCTCGTAAGCAGCCGCTAAATCACGGAGGCTGTTTTTTTTCTATCTGGAGGTGCTGGAAACTTGGCATTGCTGCCTTGTTTTGCTAGCGACGAACAAAACAGATAGAATCTACTGTATTCTCACACCACCCAACGTATTATATTGCTATCATTTTCAGTTATTGACAGTAGAGCTATTATGTAGTAAATTGTCAAACATATTTCGGCGGATATTTTAAACAAAGTAATGAAATTCTGGGTGCGGCTGTTACATGGATGCCATCATTATACTAGTACGAACATTAACACCAAAAATCAAGCAGACATAAGATTTCGATCTACACACTACAAGAAACAGGCAAAATTTCTTGAGATTAGCCAGTAAGAATAAACCTTCAGAATTTACTTTATTTAGTTGTGAGGTAACATGACTGAGATAATTGTCTGAATAATTGAAGTGGCCCGCAAATCATGCAACGATATGATTCAACTCAATATGACTTCTACGCTCCAGGCTTTTCGATTTTTCGTAGAATAGAACGAATATTGTTCGTTGTCTTGTATACTAATTACACCTACCTTGTGACTTACGCTTTCCTCATCTTCATAGCCAATCCATTGATCATCCTTGTAGGCGTAAGGACACTTAGCTACGTCATCGAATTCACGCGTCCAGCCACCCTTCTTGAGGTCCATGCATATCTGCGCACGAAACCAAAGAAAGAAAGTGAACCAAAACACAGACGCGTTTTCCTACTTTACAGTTGTGTCAGCACAAAGCATTCAGACGACTTAAGCAACTGCTCAAATTTCGGCAGGACCGCTCCAGCTGCACTGTAGAAGTACCGCGACTTACACTTTCGAGAACAGAATGACTTTGAAATTCGAATTTGGACAATCACCCCAAAAGCTTCTATACATACATACATACATACATACATACATACATACATACATACATACATACATACATACATACATACATACATACATACATACATACACACATACATACATACATACATACATACATACATACATACATACATACATACATACATACATACACACACACATACATACATACATACATACGTGCATTCATACATCAAACGTGGGTTGGACCGCCCCTGAGTGAAGGCAGGGACTTCGCGCCTTGCGTATATGCAGCCCCCCCCCCCCCCCCCCCTCAAAAAAGAAAAAGAACAGGACGCATGGTTTACACTACCTCGTAGTAAGCCTTAAGTTCAGTGGAGTTAACGAAGGGACCCGCTTTGGCTTGTTCGTTGAACTTTATGCGCGCCTTGACTCCGTGATCTCTGCTGTCCAAAAGCACGTACGAGCGACCGTAGAAGGCGATGCCCAGCATCAACTTTCGCTTCGGAGCTCCCCTGCGGACGAGCCGTTTCATTCCCTGCGCCTGCAAAGGTCGACACAATGCGCGCCATTAAGTTTCATCTAAAGTGATCTATGACGGAACGACGTTAAGAATATCAAAGCGTTGACTTGCACAAGAGCAGAAAAAAATCGATAATGCAAACAGTCACCTTCAGAGCAGATAAAATCGCGGTAGCGAACCTTCGCATTTATAGCAACCATGTCTCATTAACGCACTATAAATGAGCAACTTCGTGAACTACTGTATGCGTGAATTCAAACGCTCTATAAATGAGCAACTTAGTGTTTTACTGTTTACGTGCATTCTAAATACACATTCGTTACATCGTCATAAGCGAACAAAAAAAAAGGGCGATTAAAAAGAACATTGCTATGAAATGTACACGTGGGAACAGCTACGTAATTTTTCTGTGAATGTCTTCGTCACTACATACATATACATTTTACAGTTTGTGCTACAATTTGAAAGTTCACAATTTAATGCATCTGGTATATATTCTTGGAGTGTCTGTATGATATGTTTGTTTTCATGAAGAGTTTTTATGTATGATGTCTACCTGTAATGCTTTATTTGCAGTGACAATTATGTGCATGCATGATTTGATTTTTCTGGTTGCTCTATTGTTTGTATACTCGCATCGCATGCAAACATGTACACGCATGCCGAATGCGCATGGGAGTAGGAGCCTCTGTCAGGCAATACGGCCTTTAGCGCTTACTTCTCTTTCTGTATCAGAAAGAAATAAAATAAACTTCAAACTTCAAACTTCAAAAAGTTTCTGACGTAGCTAAAGATGTATGGCAAGATGCACATTATCGCATATGTTTCTGGGCTTCTAGTAGTTCTCAAGGAGTAAAGAGAAAACATGCCACTGTAGATTAGTGGCTGTGATATTGCGTTGGTGACCTTCAGAAAACCGGCCTTATTCTAGGTGGGGCGGATGGCTTTTGATGAAAAAGAAATGGCATGTTTTGTCGCTTCGAGTTATCTGCGCTGTTTATTCAATACGTCTGTGATTCAACAAATAACAAAAAATAGCATTCTTGTTTGTCTAAAGGTAACTTCTATCGTGTGAATCACTGTGTGGTTGCTATACAGCAACAACAAATATAATAATAATAATAATAATAATAATAATAATAATAATAATAATAATAATAATAATAATAATAATAATAATAATAATAATATGTCGTGTTTATCATCCCAAAACCACCATATGATTATGAGAGACGACGTAGTGGAGGACTCCGGAAATTTATATAACCCGAGGTTTTTAACATGCACCAAAATCTGAACTCATGGGCCTACAGCATTTTCGCCTCCATCGAAAATGCAGCCACAGTAGCAGGGATTTGATTCTGATACCTTCGTGTTAGCCATCGAGCGCCATAGTCACTAGACCACCGCGGCAGGGCGTGCTTCCAATTTAGCGTTAAAAAAAAAGCGAAAAATGAGATTCGTATGCGTCAGTTTGTTAAGCCATAGCTACGTTATAAATAGTTATCAGATTTCACAGATCATCATTAAACAAAAAATAACAAATAATAAATAAACACGTAAATTATTCAATGCAATGGGAGGAGCAAAAACATCTATTTTGTAAGTTACGTACAAGGAAGGCGAGAAGCGCTTTTTAAGAAGCCACCCTGGTGCACCAAGTGGGCACCCCTTTACGGGAGCCCATTGGCGTAGGCCGTGGCCCGGGCACGCTCAGCCAAAGCTCATTGATCCATCAGGTCAGAGGAGCCGAGCAGGGCTGGATCCCATTCCTCCGGAAGAAAGGGCTGGGTACAGGGGTGAGGTTGGGGGTTTTAAAGACGATGGTCTTTCTTGGGGACCTTCGACGCAAAAATTTTGATCTGTCTGCACGTTCGTCCTTATGCCTGCCCTTAACGGTACCCTAAAAGGCACCGAAGTGACCAAACAATACTCCAAACGGCCGACCCCATCCGCAGCGCCCACCAATATTGCTCAAATTTGAGCGTTCACACTTGTGCGATTGTCAATTAGAAAGCAATTATTGCGCATATCTGAGGCACCATAACAACACGTCAATATTATGTCTGTGCATTGTTTACTAAAAATGCATACATAAGTAATTCTAAGGACCATAGCGTTTACCACGCTGCGCTGACCATGCAACGCTCGCACGAAAAGAAAGGTGTTTCTAACGCTTTTCTAAGACGGCACGTTGGTGGCACCTATCCATCGCCTTGCTTTCTTTTCCTTGTCACCTCAGAGACGGGCGCGCACGTCGCCCACTTAGTTTTCCAGGATAACTGCCAGATGGCACTCATGTCTCACGTGTGACGCGACTTGATGCGCTCGTTCGCCTCCGCTGCACGCTCGAGGCACTCTAACGCAGTGCCTGCAGAATACTATTCAACAATTTTCTTGCGCAAAACATCAAATAAACGTTTTGTTCACTTTCTCGAGACGCAAGACTATCGTCTTTCGACAACATTTGCTGTATAACATGCAGATACGGGGCCTGTTTGTGCAAAATGTCACAGGAATTTTCCTCGCAGTGCCTTGTTGCAAAGCACGCGTGGTATGTCACATTCACATAGTGTTCATCTCGGTGGATACGCGTTACGTTTCGCGCAATCGACTACTCACAATGGTAAGGTCCTGGAAGTATGGCGGGTCATTTCTTCTTTTGTACAGTATGCTGTGCACGTCGGTGAATCGGTTCCAGGTGCCCCGGAGGTCGTACGCAAGGACATTGAACCAGTCGACGTATCTGTAAAATAAGACAGATTTCGAACGCCTACTACCACTAAACGCCTTTGTTCTCGCATATTTATTGGCAATCTGTCCCGAGGATATCGGTTGGGGAATGAATTTTGTAGACTACTAGTCTTACCGAGGAATTATTAAAAAAACAGGGTTTAAAGAAATGGTGGCCCCGCGCGGAGAAACTTTTTTATTTCAATCGTTGTGAAATGTCGGGTGGGGCTCTCAGTCCAGAGTTCCCACTGTCGCTCCTGCATCCCGTGCCCGCCGAATCAGCACCCGCTGGCCACTCGGGCTTTAATCGCGCAGCATGACCTCGCAGTCTTGTAGGGTAGGAGTAAGAGAGGAGTTGGCAGAGCGCCTTCCAGCGTTCACGTAACGCTGGCATTCCAGCATTACGTGAAATAACATTGGTACCGCTCCAAAGCCAGGGCATTTGTCAGGGTAAGAAGTGGGATGGAGAATGTGGAGGAAATAAGGGATCGGAGGTGCTTTCGCCTGCAGTTGACGCACCGCAGTAGCATCCTCTCGTGTGAGATTACTATGTTAAAACAGTTTGCTTGGGCGAGATGATTCATGTTTATGACAGAGTGTGCCTGTGCAAAAGGACGAAACACCTATAAGCGCTTTGTGTATCCTTCTCGATCATTAGGTGTTTCGTAATGTTGCGCTGCTGAAATCTGCAATACTTCTTTAATTCGGCAAGTTCATGAGATCTACGAATAGATTTTGCAGTCTTTTGAAATCTAGGATTGTAAAATAGCAATCCTGAAATGCTACCACACCTTTGTGATTGCCACGAGCCGACGCTGGTCCGTGTGAAAAACCCGCCAGGGTGCCCTGAGGGCGGCTGGGATATGGAGCCTCGCATGTATACAGAGGGCACCATTTTTGGGTGTTGTAGGCTGAATGTACGGCCATGTGGAGCTACGAAAGTCTATATATATGCGAATTTGCAAACACGCTGATGCTGCGAGCAGGTAGAGCGAAGAAGGTTTCGAGTGGAAACTCAGCGCTGTGTCCCATAAACCCCCAGTGACGAAAGGAAGAACAGCCGCTTGCACTATTTGCTACGCAAGACTGGCCCTGGTTTTTGTTTTGGTTCACCCTGCGTGAAGGACAGCAACAAACCGGATACAAAAACATTACACGCATCCACCCTGCAGTCTAACATGTTTAAGTAGGTGCCAATTACACGCCGCATTTATTATCTTTTCTTGTGGCACTTTTTTTTCGCAAATTGCTAGCGCTGTTCATAATGACAAAGCCTGAAAACTTTTGCTCACCTTTCCATGTTGGCGATGTCGTAGCCACCATCGAGATAGTGTTCATCCAGTGGAACGGCTGCCGTCAAGTAGAGGGGGTACTTAGCGAAGGCTTCTTTCAGCTCCTGGAATATCAATGTATGCACGCGTTGTATAAAAACTTGCCCTTATAGCAACAAGAGTCACTGAGTACTTAACATCGCGAGAATGCTAGGATTAGTGAAAGAAGCAGTATTCTCACCATGATCGTTTTAAGTTGGAATCGAACCATCGTTCACATTGGACCAATGTGGTTCCAATGTGCGATGTGCCCATGCAGCTGCTCTTTATCTTCTCCTCACCAATATTGACAACTGCACTTTTGCTTCTTTTCTTACTCATATGTATCACAAGTGCTACAGCTGCCATTTGAGTGAAGTATTCTTCTAGATTGTGACATAGAAATGTTTCTTTCTGGGAAGCAAGCAAACTAACCAATTAGGCTGTCATATCGCATTATAAGAGGGCTACTCCGTGCATGTGACATCTAATATTGTATCGCATTTTTTTTTTTACCTTTACGTATTCACTCGTCAGCATCTTTTCCTCACGCACTTGTGGTTGTGAATTCGAAAATATTTGCTCACTATTCTGAAACCGAATTTTTTTCTGCTATGAAGGAACAAAATAGGAAAAAGTAGAACTGCGTTGCTTCAGCGACTCCATAAAGACTCAATGACGATACACGCCAAACTCAGTTGATGCCAGTAACATCAGGACTGGAAACGATGAAAATAATTGCATCAAATACAAAATTTGCAGCGTGATGCACAAGAAGAACATCTGGCCCATTAATAACGTAGGCACCTTGAGCAGGAGCACGAAGTTGCGCTTGTCCCACGGCTTTCCGCCACGTTTCTCGTATCCAGGATATTTCCATAATATTTCGAGGCCATCGAATTCGTGGTCGCGCATCCAGCGGACGGCACTCTCGACAAAGGCAGCCCGGCTTTCAGGCCTGCTGACCATGTTGGAGAACACCTCACCTCCGTGATCCCAGCCTCCAACGGCGAGCATCGTCTTGAGATACAAGTGACGATTCTTGAGATCAGTGAAGGCCAGGTATTTCCCTGTGGCATAAGCGCGTTCAAAGCGAGGGCTTGATCATTGTATTACGAGTACTGTAATGAAAAAAGTGTCGGATGGAGCACTGTGTATAACAATATCCAGCATCTCCACCACGTATATGTTTTAGTTGGGCAGACACTTATTTGGCTCGAGGACCAGGCAGCGAACAAGCATAGTGCACCCAGACACAATGATGGTTATGAGACAAGGAGAAGATGAGGGTGCATTGCCAAACGACGAGGAAGATGTGTTGAATCAAAGCCCCCATTGTTTTTTTAAATAATTTATGGCATCTTTCTGACGCGAACAATGTATGCACACAGATACACCTCCAAAACTTTCAGATATTAGTTTTCATGGCGGTATGCGTCTACTTTAGGTGCACTTAAATAATGTTCTGGCTGATGACGATGAAAAATTACAGTTGCGCCGTTTGTAATGGGTTTTGAGCTTTGAACCACCCACTCGCTGAGCTATTCACGTTGTACGACGCCCGGTTGCTGTTTAACTTTTCTACCAAGCTACATTCGTTGACATGATTCCTAACCGGCGTGACACATTATATAGGTGTTTTTTTTCGTTGTTTCTGGTGAACGACTCTCAATTACCGGCATGGTCTTGTGGTAGAATACTCGCCTACCACGTACACAGGGCCCGGGTGCAAATCACGCTCGATCCTTTTTCATTTTGTCTCATTTCGCGTGACAGTTGTTACGGATACAGGTGACGATGGCGGTGGCCACAGCGGACAACTATAGGACACCCAAGTCGTCCGTTGTTGCAATCACATAACATAACAGCGTCCGATGGGATTATATGTAAACGCACAGACCGTTCTATAGCTGAAGACCCAAATCAGATCAGGTTGTAAGATTGTTCATAACGCTTTCCACTATTCTATGTGGTGCCATTGCGTTTCGCTATGTGAGGGTCATAAAACTTGCAAGTGATACTCACGTTCATCTTCTTCGTATTCTGGAATCATGCTCTTAATCTCGAAGGTCCCGTTGTCGATGCCAGCGAAGGCAAGGACGACGAATGTGCACATGTCCAGCGGCACATCTTCTATGCTGTAGTTGGCCGGACTCGGACGCTGACTGGACCAGCCGTAGTAGTAGCACACCACAGGAACCTCGAACTTGTTGCGAGGAATCGTGACTCCTTCAACGGCATCGCGGCCTGTTGTCCCAAGCAAACAAATGTTAGAGAAGTTTGACCCGCAAATCGCGGGATCAATCTTTCCTGCGGCGGCTCCATTTTCGATGGAGGCGAAAATGCAGTAGACCCGTGTGCTCAGATTTGGGTAGACGTTAAAGAACTCCAGGTGGTCTAAATTTTCGCGGAGTTTCATTACGGAATCTCTCATATTCATACGGTGTTTTTAAGACGTTAAACCTCACTTATTAATCAATCAATCAGTTTGAAGGGGCATTGGAAAGCCAAAATATTTTGTCGTTATCTAATCATGATTTCATAATACCTTTTGCTGCGAAAATACACTTGTAAACCGAGAAAACGAGTGAAAATAAAATGCCGATAGCAATGTGCATTCAGGATTCCGCGCCAAATTACCGCGACTTCACATACTTTGATGGCGCGTGCGGAAAGACATGCAATAGTTACCGATCAAAATTAAATAATTTTTTTCTATAGAGGCCATACACTTCAATTTGCAGTTGTAAATATTTTACCTAGCCAATGTCGGCACAAACAGAAGAAACAAAACAAACCAAAAGAAGAACAAAATGCCCGGAATCAGAGGTCGTCTACACCAACAGTCAGGATATGAAGTTTCAATGCTTAGTTTAAAAGTTAAACTGAAAACAAAAGTTATGATGATGACAATAATGGCAGTAGATCTTTCAAAGAACAACTCATGAGTCCAAGCTGATTTGCTGCTTCATTTCAGCGTTAATTGAAGAAAGCGTTTTCGATTTATTCTTTAGTAGCTTTGCAACGTTGTACGAAGTTAAAATGAGGTCGCATGTTTGAAGCGTATCGACTAACTCTGTTGAGAATAATTATTTAGCAAAGCTTTGTGCGGTGGATACCGCACTTCAATTCAATTTTTACGAGCAAATAAAAAAACCGCTCTAAATGCAAATCGAAAAACTAGAGCCTACTAGAAATGATCAGCACAACAGAGCCACAAGTGTTCAAATTTTAAAACCTTCAACATATTTAGCAGTAGCGATGCACTTAAGTCTTTCTCAGAAGTACCTGGAAGCCAAGTACACGTATGAATCGGCCCTCGTTCTTCCCACTGGAGGTCATGAACTCCATTACGGCACAGACGATGGTGGTTGTTTTCTAGAGCAAGGTTTGTGTTTCGATGTCCCTTTCTAATGAGTTCAAATATTTTCCCAGGCGTTTCATCAATTTACTCATTAAGTATGCTCACTATAGCTGTGCCCAAAAAAAGATAGTATTAGGGGCGGGGATTCGAAGTATTTTGCAAAGCTTTTATGTTCATGTACTAGCCAGTAGAGCTGTAAAAAGTCAATCGGCCATGCTTTGTGTACTTGTTACAGTAGACAAATGGTTCAGCTGGTGAAAAATAACCGAGTGGATCGTCGAGCCGGCTTTCTCCGACTTGCATAGCCAAATTATCCACTCGGCGAATAAATGCCTGTATGAATATATTTTTTTCAGACGTCACAACGGGATACTAGCCAAACAAAACAATAATAATTTGGCAAGGTCCTTTAGAAAGTTGTTTAGATTAAGGGACACTAAAGAGCAAAACGATTTTTCGCGTATTCGTAAGTACAAATGCTAAATCCCGAAAGCACCCCGCCGGCCGCGACACGAAGCTTGGTATGCGAGAAAACGCAGGAAAAAAAAAAAAAGATGTGGGAGGTGGCGCCGCCTAGATTCCCGCACCCAAACACCGTGACATCATAAATTTTGAAACCTTCTAGTAGGTCTCACGTAGCTTCGAATTGATAAGAAGGGATTACAATGTCATTCACGGGTGCCATAGATCTAGCATATGAAGTTTCAGGTAACTTCATCAACCCAATGTCGCAAAAATACTGAAGATACTTTTTGAAAATTTTGGCGTTATGTGTGAAGTTTTAGCCGAGAAATTTAATATTGTTACTTTAATATTGATTCTCTCGCTAATAATGAGCCTATGATAGTGAAACATATCAAATAGTTATCTCAGAGTGCAATTAGTCAATTTGAATCAAGTCATTTTTTTTCTGTTTCATGTCACTCTAAGCATGTGAAAGCGGCGCAGTGGTGTATCACAGCGTACTTTCACATTGTGGTCACCATCAGAAGCAGTTAAGACGAGCTTAAATGCAAATATTGAGAATTACACGTATACTAGGCTTAGTTGAGTAGGTCAATTGTAGTGAAGCGTAACTTCGCTTAAGAAAGGGACTGGAAATTGTTTGAATAGCCATCAATTTTCCAGACGCGTCATGGACGATGCAACTTCAAACACGGGTGTTCTTGGATCTTTTGTACTGGTGAACGTCTTTCGAACGTCATCCAACTGACACAAAACAACTGACATGATCTCGTTTTGCTTTAGGGTGTATGACTGCCTAAATCTTTTCTTCAAAAAGAAAACTATCAAAATTGACCGCTTACGCTTTAGACACTGCAAAGATATTCAAGATCCGCATTGACACTCCCGTACCCGTTTTTGTAACTAGACATTCACTAATTAGTTTTCCGCGCACTTAATAAACATACATTACCATTGGTCACCGCTGACGCCTGTTGTTGAAGAGCGGCGAGCAGGAGAATCAGCCCAGCAACACCATGACGCCGGTTGTTTACTACGCTCTCGACATTGAGTAGGAAAGAGTCCAGGAATCCTCGCAATGCTTCTCGCATGTTCACAGACGGATAGATTACGTTTGTCCTTGTAGAACCGCGCAGCTACGAAGCTGCTACCCCTGCGCGTTCAAGCTCATCAAAACAACGCGCACACAAGCAGTGAGAGCCAACTTGGAGATGCCCTGTACATTGAAGCGATAGCCGTACACTCCAGCGAATGGTTGCTTCTTTCTACGGCTCCTTTTTCTGTTTTTGTCTCCGAGACATCGGCCGTGACTTCCCAGTCGCTGAACGAAGCCAGCTGACACGTGCGGCAGTAGCGGCGCCGGTGGCGATTACCCCGTCACAAGTTGCACAACCGGCTCTGAAGCGTAGGCAAGCTCCGTGTATAGCAGACGCTCGTGTGCCGTCGCGAGTCAAGCCAGGATGTTTTGCCTGCACGCAATATAACGTCACGGTGTTTCGAAAAGACTTCTCCGCCTCAGGCGTTCCGGCGTTCTTTCTGGCTCAAGATCGCTTACTTTTTCTGTACTGGTCCCTAAGTTTTCCTGGTGGCAAGTATTTATCACTGAAAGTATGGGCGTTGGTTTAGTGGACGGTGGGGCATTGACATAAAAGCACAGATGCTTCAAACTTAGCCTAAACTTTCTGGATTGCACTCAAACGTACGAGTAAAGTGTTATTGTGAAACTGAAAATCTTTTATCAGACGTAGACGTAGACGTTTATTTCAGGCAAAAGAAAAGAAAAAAAGAGGAGAGATAGTTTGCTTGGGCACCGGCGAAACGGCATAAAAGCTTGACAAGGCGCCGGTCCCATGTAAACCTGAAACCCACCAAAATGACACAGTGCTAATTGTAAAGTAAAAAGCCTGTAAAAAGTAAGCATAAATGAGTTTTTACACGCAAAACATGTGTGTACTAGAAAACATATATGAGCAAAAATTTGTCCAGCAATTAAATCAATAAAGCATATATTATAATGAAACTGAGGAGGAGGAGGAAGAAAGTTTAAGCGGAAAGACAGGGAGGTTAGCCAGTTCTTAGACCGGCTGGCTACCCTGTGCTGGGGAAAGAAGTGAGGGGAATGAAAGATGTTAAAAAGAAATGTTGCGAAGAGAGAGAGAAATTACAAAAAAAATTGCGACAGAGGAAAGGTAACATCAAAGAGTATAAGACACTAAAATCTGTCTCTGAGGCCAGTTGTCCGCAAAAAGTGCAGAAAAGCTTTCAAAGCCTTCTGGGCTGAGAAACTGAACTGTTCTCGCAAGTTAGTGGGTGCCTTCCTGCTCGATTCGCGCTGCGCAGGAGATGTGGTCTTGGAGCGCAACATTTCTGCGGATAATAATATCTGGGGTTTAACGTCCCATGCAGAAGGACAATTTGATTATAAGATAAGATGACAATTTAAGCGTTTATTCGATAAATACGCTGAACATTGCTCTGTTTGCATTGTACCTATGCTTCTTTCTTGCCGAAAACACGTAAAAACATTGCGCTTCAAGATGTCATCATCCGTGCAGCGTGAACCGAACATATAGGAATGTAAACTCTTTCAATTCCGTTCAATTCAACGCTGTCTGAAAATATTGAATCAGAACATGAACAACGCCCCCACATTTCAGATCTATTTCTTGTGGAACATTTACAAACGCTATGAACGTGCGTTTGCTCGGATTTTTACAAACGTGATTCATTGCTAGTGAATTGCAAATTCGCAAGGTGCGTAAGCTGCCCCGCCGCGTTGGTCTAGTGGCTAAGGTACTCAGCTGCTGACCCGCAGGTCATGGAATCGAATTCCGGCTGCGCAGCTGCATTTCCGAAGGAGGCGGAAATTCTGTAGGCCCGTAGTGCTCGAATTTGGGTCCACGATGAAGAATTCCAGGTGGTCGAAATTTCGAGAGCCCTTCACTGCGGCGTCTCTCATAATCGTATGGTAGTTTTGGGACGTTGAACCCTACATATCAAGTCAGCTACGTAAGCTGTCGCAAGCAACGGTTTATTGTCGAGATAAGTCTACAACAACGAACATCATTGGCATTCTCGTTAAAGTTGATTGATTGATATGTGGGGTTTAGCGTCCCAAAACCACCATATGATTATGAGAGATGCCGTAGGGGAGGGCTCCGAAAGTTTCGACCACCCGGGGTGCTCTAACGCGCGCCCAAATCTGACATTCTCGATAAAGTAGGCACGAGCGAAACGTGGCGTAAACGGGATGCGAATTTAGTGCATTTGACCCAGCGGTCAGGCACACAAAAAACAGAAATCTCCTCGTAAAACCGACGCGCGCTACATCTATCGTTAACTGCAGCAATCATATCGTTTTCAACGTTTGGCGCAGTGCTGACCTCAGTCCAAGCTACTCTAGGCCACACAGCGGAGCGTTCGAGTCAAAGGTGCTGACGGCTGTACAAAAATGTGGACGTATATAATGGCATTCATTGTGGTCATTGTGTTGTTATTTTACCTTCAGTCTCAGCTTCAGTGCATAATACTTACATGCACGTTTTTCATGACGGCTGTGGTCCGTTACTTGCATATTTACACCTTCTTTCCCGTATAGCTTGTGTTCTTAACTGCTGAGCTTTTGTATCATATATAATTTTTGCGTTTATCGAAGCTCTCTAGAAAAAAAACTACTTTGCAAGAACGGTCCAATTATTGTGTTGAGATGGCTAAGCATCAGTACAAATGTACAATATCACTAAAAAAGACGTTAAAATTTCTGACCTCAGTGGGCCGGCACAGGCAGCTGCCGAACACTGCTGATCAGAAGCGTCGTGCTTCTACACTTTGTCAGGACTCATGCATTGCCTGCTGCGCAAGTGCCATGCTTTCAGAAACGTTTGTTATAGTCCATCCAAGTTGGGGCAATCGCAGGCGCGCGCCGGGTTCCCCTTAAGTGGGGAGGGGTGCAGAGGTAGACTACAGCGCCCCCTTTCCTTTAAGATCAACGTAAGGGTAAGAATATGCTCCCTCCTTCGTTACCAGGAGGAGGTCATTCCCTGCGATCTCCCCACCATAGCTGACAGCTTATGGAGACAATGCGTCTCTCATAAGAGGTCCCATTTCAATGGCCAGGACTCCGAGTTTATGGCGACATTCAAGCACTACCCCCCCCCCCCCCCCCCCCCATCATTCATGTATTGAAACTAGCCACGCTTATTTGACAACTATTATGACACTATTTGCAAGGCCCTCAAACATATGTCATAAATACTACGTGCTTTGTCAACTTGTCTTTCGTTTTAGTTTTGCGCGTCGTACCAACTGACACGTGCCGGTAGGAGAGTGGTATAGAGGTTATCTTCTAATGTGGCATAAGTTGCACAACCAGTTTTTGGAACATGTAGTGTCGCAGTGCTCATCAAGGGTGCATGCGCCTGCCAATATGCTTATTCGATATGCCAGGAACTTAAGCAACGTCATCGTGACGTGTGTAGGGTGGTGTTCGTTCGCTCCTCCCTGTACTCTCCTTATCTCCACCCCCACCAGTGTTGAAAGGAGGATGCTATCGTCGCCTTCTGTTTTTGCTTTGGGAAGGAGCTTCCACTTAACGGATCCACACATGTTGGTTGGTGGAATGGGAGAAGGACGTTCTTTATCACTTGTAACAGTAATGACTAGTAAATATTTTCAAGGACTTCTTACAGGAAATACATTCCTACAAAAAAGCTTTTGTAGTAACTGAAGAAACTAATTAGTTGTTTTAATTAGGAATGATTTCATTCACTTACGAAAGGAAAATGCATAAATTTGAAGGCAAAGTAAATAAAAACCACCCCACTGAGTAAACTCTCGTCTATTGTTTACCTAATAAAGTTATTTCACTCACCCCTGCACTTCAATTTTGGTGAATGTCAAAATATCAACTGGCGTCTACATACTGCGGGGTACCTAATAATCATATCGTGGCAGACAACGTGACCTAAATGATCGTGTATTGTTTTGAATGCGTGGAAAATCACGTTACAAAGTAGAGAAATGTCAGAGAGACATATTCATGTGCAAACAAACCTTTAAGGTGAGAGCTTTAGCGGAAGCCAACACTGGCAACGAAAAGAGATGAGGCAAGTGCAGCAACAGTGCTTGCCTGATCTTTCGTTCGTGATCCGTCTTTGTGTACCCTAAAGTCCTGGCCTTAAAGCTGTGTACCAACTAAACGCAACCGTACCTTCATTTCAAATAAAAAAATCACAGCGTATCCACGGAGTGAATGATGGTGAGTGGGGTGAAGCGTCTGTCCTTCTGTCTGTCCGTCTGTCGGTATGGCTGTACTGGCTACGCAGGAGGGATGGACTGCCCTAGACCAAGAAGAGCTCCGCCCCTAAAAGTTGTTCCAATTGTCGACACGTTGTAATTGTCGTAGTTGTGTCATGATTATTACGATGCACAAGCCACTGTCTGTACAAAAAAAGCCAAACAAAAGTGATTTTATTTTTTAAATTTTCATCAATGATTACCATCTATACATGAACTGGCACTAGGAGTGAAAGCAGCGGTTATCGAGTGAAACATAAATACTGGGCCTGAGGGGGGTTGTTTCAGTTGGACGCGGAGCGTATCTTGTTGGCTCTGATCTCTCTGAGAGCCTTTTCTCCGACCTTGTTGAAGATGACCGTCATGAGTGGGTTCTTGGCGCCCGCAAACTCCACGGAAGTCATCCAGGTCGTTGTTGAACACCATCACTCCGCGATACTTCTCGCGTAAGATGAAGTCCATCTGCAACAAATGGCGATGCCACTACACGTGTTGTACAGGTTGAGATTTTAGCTTTTTAAAGTTACATCTTGTAAGAAGTTTGTGAGTGAAAACTGCAACTTTTGAAGGACACCTAAAAAAACTTCTAAAGCTACAAAAAGAAAGCTCGTTATTTGTTTTTTTTTCTGGTGTTTCTGTCTTTATGGCAAGATACGTAACGACAGTTGTCTGGTTATGTTGCGTCACGAGCTGGTAGCACGTAAGACTATTGCACGCTATCAGCTGATTTTCTTCAGTTTTGTTCAAGCAGCGATAATAGCTTGTAGCCGACAAGTGCGAAGAGGCCCAATGCTTTGTGTCTGCATTGTACACGTGTTTTATGAAGAAATGAGCAGCTAGAAGTCGTAAGCGGCTATAGGAGTGGTAATGAGAGCGAGAAAAGAAATCATTCTCTCGTCTTCGAACGCGGAGTAGTTTAGGGGTCATGTAAGCGTTATATTAGGCTATGGCTCACGGTTTCACTACCAGGATATGATAGTATACTCCGGAATAACAATTACAGCTAGTTTACTCACTATGCTAAAACTGAATCACCTGATAGCCACCCACTAGTTTAGAGTTAAGAACCTTCTACTGTACGTGTTCTCTATAGTGCTCTCAAGGAAGGTTTGCTAACATCTGCTTGGCGTAAAACAGGTATACGTAAAGAATAGCTGTAAAAAGGGGTGAATTTGTGTTTTGTTGGAATGAATGCAGAAAATGAAAATGTGCTCCCACACACTTAGTTGACACGAGTTTTTGGGCTGAAGTTACCTTGTTAGCGACGCTTTCTTCGTCTTCGTAGCCAACCCATTGGTCCCCTTTGTAGGCATAAGGACACTTGGCTTCATTGTCAAACATACGTGTCCAACCATTCGATTTGACATCTTGACAAATCTGTAGAGATTCAAGACAAAAGAACGTTCTTGTTAGTAGTCGACCATTTTAAGGGTTTGAACATTATAGGGTACAAATATTCATGTTGGAAATAAGCAAGCACCCAGTATACTGTTTAGGGGATGTATAAAACTGGTCCTTTGGCTGATCAAACTCTAATGCCGCCTTAATTCTATTAGCTGTTAGTTTTGTAAATTGTTTGGAGAGAAGAGACCGTAACCTGATGGGCCTGTAAACTTTCAAGTTTTGTCATCTCCTTCCTTTGAGATTCAAGATGATGCCTGGAGTTCTTCAAAGATGTATAACAAGGCATTTATAGTAGCATTCATTTTGGTTAGTGCTTAGTGGTCATTTATGTTACCTCTAATATTCTTCAATTTATCACTTTTAGCTTTGCTTTAAGGATGAGAATCATCCTTCACTATTTGTAATTTTACACTAACGCTAAAACATTATGGCTTTACAAGCGGAGCCATAATTTTTTCACGTCCCGCTTCACAAGCAACGCTGCCGATACTTTCCAAGAAAGCTTCGAAATGTTCAGGACAAAGGAAAATACACGATGCAGAATGAACACCCATATGTATAATGCATAAAAAATCACTACTTGAATCAAGACAGTTTTGTGAGGCCTTAATTTTATAATTGAAAACACCGAAACATGACGTTTAGCAGCAAGCCTAGCAGAAGCGGTAATACATTATTGTTCTTTCCTATTTTCTTCCTTTGTTTCAAAGACCATCTCAGCGTCTCCCTCTACCTGAATACGTGAAGAAGTAATTCTATGAAACTTACCACTTCAATGCACAGTATTATTTTGTATTCATATGTGGGGATAAATGTTTTAAGGTAAGTTTACATCACCTGTCAGTGATAAAATTTAATAAATAGGAGAATTTTTCATACATCTCATGAATTTTAATTGGACGTAGTAAAATATGTTTTGCCAAACGTTAAAAGGTACCTGACAGTATTGAAAAGTCGTTCTCATTATGACTTTTTTATGGTATTATAATACAAAGAATTCGAGAACAGCGCTAGTCAGTGGCTTATGGTTTACGTACGCCACTGGGGTTTCCTTTATTTCATGTGCGAAGTATTTTTTCACGCACATTAAAATGTGGCTGTCATGGTTGCTAGTCGAATACAGGAAACTGTCTGTTTTCGGCAGCAGAATGCCGTTGTGTCATGGCCGTACGCTGATATTGGCATATGTACGCCTAATGTATGTGCTCACTGTAAAATATCGATCGTTCTGTTAGTGCCGAACTTCGAAAGCCCTCACCTACAACATTTCTCCATATGGGCATGATTGTAGCTTCTGTATCTCATGAAAATACTGGCATACTATGGCTAATATTTGCAATTAAAGACAGGTGAATAATAAAATGAGAAGCACAAAGCTCTACATATGAACTTCACTCATGTAGAGTGCTACAATTAAATACAATGAAAGCTAAAAATGAGAAGCGAGATCCTCGTGAGTGACACCTTTCATAAATAACTCAAAGGAGTAAATGCAGTGAAACTTACTCGCCTCGTAATACCCCTTCAGCTCGTCAGATCCAACGTAAGGGCCCACTTCTGGTTTTCCGTTAGGTATGATGCGGGCCTTGACTCCGTTCTTTTGGGGTCACGGAGCACGTACGTGCGACCGTAGTAGGCCATGCCCAGCATCAGTTTCTGCTTAGGTGCGCCCATGCGGACCAGCCGCTTCATACCCTCGGCCTGCAAGACACACAAAGTCAGTACACCAAATATGGTCGCGTGAATGCAAATGTGCGGAACGCAAAATTCAAGCCTGTAGAGATAGAAGTCTCTATTGGGCGAACCTCTGCACAGTAAAACAAACCACTCACAGTAAAGTAATACACCTGCATGTTGTGTGAAATTTAATTTGAACATTTTAAAATTCTCGAGAAGGGAGAAGAGGCATGGCCTGCGCGAAGCGATAAGACATGTACAAGTTTAAGGCTTTGCAATGTAATCGCCATGAAGTGAAAAGTGTACTAGAACCCAATATTTTTGCGACTGTTTCGTCCCCCCACCGCGATGCGGTTATGAAGAACGCCATAGTGAAGGGATCCGGAAATTCGGACCACGTGGTGTTTTTAACGAGCCCCGAAATTTGAGTACACGGGCCTAGAACACTACGACCCGTATTCACAAAGCAACCTCAACCTCACCTCGAGTTTTCCTTATCAGTTTTAAGCCGTTATCGCGCTTGCTCAACAAGGTATGCTAGTATACATAATCGACTCTCGTTGCTATATTTTACCCTGTTACCGTTTCTGAGCCCTTATAACGGACGTAGAGAGTACAGAAATTCGAGGAAAACGTGAGGAAAGGCCAAGATTGCTTTGTGAATACGGGCCTTTGTCTCCAGCATTTCACCTCAAGAATTTCGGCTTTGTCGAAACACGGCCGTCACGGCCGGGTTTTTATCCCACGACTTCGGGACAGCAGTTTAGAGCCATAACTGAACCACAGCGACGAGTGAAAGAACATAAATGGTGCGCGTTAATATAATTAGGAAGGTAGGATGATCCGAACGAGCAGTTGTAGCGGTGGAAAAGATATGCCTTTCCACTTATATTTTCAGCTGCAGCTCTGGCAGGGCAATGATGATGGGGATCCCTGGTAGAAAAGCGGCGTGGTGAAGGCGAGTCAGTCATCAGTGAGGACAAGTTACTCGGACAAGCGTATCGTCTCAGTGTTACGCTTCTTGAGTGTGTGAGTTTCACGTGAATGCATAGATGCACACAATAAGATGTGCGGTATCTCATAACATACATGTCTCTATTGAGGTGCCTGAGTAACAAGTTAATAGTACATATAAGAATACAAACAATGCGGGGAACAGATACAGTGTAATAAATATATGTATTTGACTTGCAGGACAACACGTAGCTGAATTAAATGGAAAGGTTGATGTTGATTGAATCTGACACATCGCATGCCTATAGGCAAACTGCCACCTGCATATGATTAAAGCTTCAGGTTAACCTATACAAGCCTCCTCTTTCCTCTATATCTTTCTGAAGATCACCACGTAACACCGCGGTAAAGAAAAAAATGCGCACACGCATGTTTAACAAGGGTAAGGCATTGTTTGATAAAGATTTCAATGATTTTATAAGACGGCGATGTGTCCGATACTAAATTAACTTATGCGTACTGATGTCCCAATGTATCTCTGAAATGCATTTGAACGTTTCTCCCTTCTATGCACTTACAATGGTGAGATCTTGAAAATAGGGAGAGTCTCCGGCTCTCTTGTACAGAATGCTGTGCATGTCCGTGAACCGGTTCCAGGGCCCACGGAGGTCGTAAGCAAGGACGTTGAACCAGTCGACATGTCTGCGTATAAGGAAGAATAAATGCGGCACTCTTTAGTCCCTTTAATCTGGTAGGATGTTTTTTCTTTTGCTTAGCCGTCGACTTGTGCGTTGCCTTTTAATGTTTTTTTTTTTCGTCACCATCGGTCGCCAGGAGCGTACGGCCAGTTTCCTTTCGATGTGGTATATCACCACTTGTACACCTCCAGCATAGAGAAACCTATCATGGCGACGCTTGGACTGTTACCTAAACATTATGCGAAAATTTTCATTGACAAGGACTATGAAATATGATGCTACAGACAGAGAAAAAGAGTTTCTGCCAAACAAGAGCCATGACATTCACGCAAAATTTTGTTTCTCTTGCATCCGCCGTCTCGATTCTGTTTGCTTGTCCCTGCGAAAATACGTTATTAATTGGTTGTTCAGTTTTTGTAATGGGCAAAGCTCCTTCCTTGCCTTCCGTTGTGGTGACGTTGTAGAGCCGTTATTATGGTTATGGGTCGAAACATATGTGACACACACACACACACACACACACACACACACACACACACACACACACACACACACACACACACACACACACACACACACACACACACACATACACACACACATACACACACACACACACACACACACACACACACGCACGCACGCACGCACGCACGCATGCACGCAAGCATGCACACACACACACAGAGAGAGAGAGAGAGACAACAATATTTTACAATATACCTACACGTACCTATGTTAATTATAAAGTGTGAGATTGCTGTTAGTAGTGAAAATGATTGATGCAGAAGATTATCGCCGAGTTGATATCTACAAATATGTGCCTAGATATTGAGACTTCTCAAAGAAATCTCTAACACAAAGGCACACTTTGAGCACTATATATCTGCCAACAAGTTTACCGGCTTCTTTGATTTACGTTTGACGCATATCTTTCACTCCAACATTCCTCCTTGAATAGCCTAATACGAGTGAAATGCGAAATAAATTTACATTTCTATATAGACTTTATGTGATTCAGTTTAGATTATGGGGCAACGCTCGGGTAACGTACGGTTACTCACCCACAGAATACCCAGAGCTTTGCCCCCTCGTCATGATTTACTTCGTGGAGATGCGTGGATTTTTCTTTACAGCGAGTGCTGATATAAAGTTCAGAATTGGAAGTAGATGAACGAATTATTATAGAATGAATGAAGTAATCTGCTATTTATTATAACTTCCTCGAAAGAACTTTTTATTCACTTATCATTTATTGCGAGTAAAGTACCTAATCTACTCTTCCGAACAGTATTGCTGTGTTTTTTTAACATGAAAGTGTTTTATGCCGGGGCCCACCGAGACTTCAAGGAGGTATTTTCGTCATAGAAGGGACATCGAAAAACACGCACGACCAGAAGACAGAAAGTTCCGTCACTGGTAGTCGATCCCGTGACCTCTGGGTCCCCGGCAAGAGATGCCGGGCACTCTATCCACTGCCCCATGGCCACCTGTCCCTTAAAGATAAGCCTTTTGAATCTGCCACCGTTCTCTCAGCATTCTTGGTTCAGTGCATAATGACAGTGGCATCCGCGATTAGTTCCTTCAAAGCACTACTTCTAAGCGTACGCATCATATGGCGGGTTTAAATAAGAGTATGTGCAATTTTGCCAACGCCAAACACACCCCCATGTAGCGATCTTACTCCAAGCGTAGGGGTCGCTCATAGCATTTATCCATACAAAAAAAAAAGCTCTTTAAGGCAAAAAGCAACATGCTTACTTTTTCTGCTAACTATCAACTCCGCATTCGCGGCTTACTCTTGCCCCTCGAAAAATTATGGCTGGCCAACATACAAGACACAACGTGCATAGTGCTTCCTTCTGTTCGGGCCGTGGAGTTCAAACATCTTAAGAATCCGTCCAGTGCGAGTGGACTCACAAAGGTTTGTCGCATGCTGCAATTGCATTATCTCTTCTCTCGTTCCGACGAAAGTGCTCGAAGCTAAACAGGGAGGGGCGGCAGGGCAACTTGAACACTTTTTTTCTTGGAATGCGCGGCTTTCTCAGTGTGATCGCACGCGCACGCGTGGACAAGTAGCGGCCTCCCACGGCTATCTCAGTAACTTGATTTTTCGGTCACAGACGCACAGACGATTTTTCGCTCACAACCAACGGGGCGACGCCGGCGGCGGGTTTTCTGCGACACGAGCTCTTTAACGCTATCACGTTAATAACTCCAACATGTCGCGAGTAGGTCACCTTAGCCCACGTTCGGCGTCCAACCAGGTGTGCTCTTCTGGCTGCCGCATCGCTTTCTCTGGTTCCGTACTCACCTATGACCACAAGGGTTTGTTTAATAATTATTTATGGCTGTTAGTCGTCTGGATGGAGATTTATGACTAAGCATTAACGTAAAAGCATATGTGTTAAGTGGTCTTATAGCTGTCCTACACTAATACACATTAAGCAAAATATCTGATGTCAATGTACAGTAAACATTAAATTACTTCTGTAAGCAGGCGTTTTACTTTCGTGTTCTACCGATTCCTAGGACGGAGGGATAAACATGTTTTTTTTTATTTCTCCCGGGAAGATATGCATTGGTATGAATCTAGAACATTTATCTTGTTCTGACACGGTATCGAAGAAGCATGTGCTCACCGCTGCATTTTCGGGATGTCGTAGCCATCATCAAGATAGTTCTCCTCCAAAGGAACAGCAGCCGTCAAGTATAGAGGATGGGCTGCAAATGCTTCTTTGAGCTCCTGCGGAATAAAAGCGTGAACGCGTGGTAGTCACCTCACAAAAGGGTAGAAGGGATTGGCGTAGATGGAAAAACGTTTTTACAGCTGTCTAGATTAGGCGATCTAACTCCTCCGAGTGATGTAGGGAGCTAGTGAATTAGACTGGAGCATGGAAGTCGGCAAGAGGTGAAAGGCGAAAATTGCCTTCTCCCTTCCACCCTAACCTACACGAACATTTGCTCACCATTGAAGTCACACCAATTATTCCCTCCTCCTGCGCGGCCATGCAGCACGAGTTTGCACACCCCAGGACTAATTTCAGCCGACGCCTATGACTGCAAGTTAGCAAACTCTTTAGGATTAGAAGAAAAAAGAAGAAAGGAAGAGAACAAATTGAGAAAATGGCAGGAGAGGTCAACCAGGATTCGTGCATTCGGTTTGCTACGCTGCACTAAGGGGAGGGGGAATGGGGAAGAAAGAGAAGCAAAAGCGAAGAGAACAGTTGACGTGCGAAAAAAAAATAAGAGCAAGGGTGCTATAGTCAATTCAATTGGCTACTGCCACGCAAAAAGTTCAATAAGGCCTTGACTGATTTTCAGTGCGAAGACAGATCGTGTCGGCATTCGGGCACTGACTGTTCTGACACGGCTCTGAGTCAAGGTGGGCTAATGCAGCAACAGCGGTAGTCTGTGCGCGCTGTATCGAGTGCATTGACACAGAACGTGCTCTATCGTTTCATCACTGCCGCAATGATCGCAAGCAGCACTGTCTTCCATGCCGATTCAGAAGGCAAAAAGTTTTGTGAAAGCGACGTCAAGCCACTGTCGGCAAAACACTGTGGTCCCAAGTCGAAAGAGTCGTGACCGATGTCGAAGTCGACGACACGGGTCTAGCTTATGCAGTCGCGTGTGCCATAAGCTTGCTGTATTACACAGGCATCTTACGTCTTCATTAGCATTCTGTGTAATTTTTATGGCAGCATCAGTCCTTGAGAATAGGATAGATTTTCCTACACCGTTTTCGTGTGCCGATCGAGCAGCTTAATCTGCATGTTCGCTGTTCAATATGCCGCAATGACTTGAAAGTCTTTGCAATGTGATTTCATGTCTTTAGACGAAGAGGTGGTGGAGTAGCTCTCGAATTTCTAGCACTAGTTGTTCAGGAGTTCCCCGGCCTAAGGTGAATACTAAACAATGTAGTGCTGCTTTCGTGTCCGTGAACATGCTCCATTTCTTCACTTGTTGATGTTGAATTACTTTAGTACGATACGTAGAGCAGCAAGTTCCGCAGTTGTCGATGTCGCCTAGCGGGATAGCCGAATACTCATGATAGTCGCTTTCGCAGGAAGGATCACCGACCCCGCAGACCCATATATTGTAGTTGGAGCGTCAGTATATAGATGCTAATGCTCACTGTACTTCTCATACAACAAGGGAAGAGAAAGCTGCTTTAGCGCTGGAGATCAGAGCCGGGCGTTTGACCATATGCCGGGAAACGTGAGTTGAACCCGCGGATAAGCCATGCACCATGGGGGAGTTGCAATTCTGGACGGAGCTGTATCCCGTTGGTATGTGTGCACAATGTGAGAAAACATTCTGGCAAAATGAGGCACGACGTCGGTCTTCTGGCAGTGAGACTAAATGACGGGCAGGGGTGTGAGCAAGATGTTTCACGTGTGCTATGAGCGCTTCCATTGCGATATGTGTCTTGACTGCGTGGTAATTTGCCATTACAATTGTCTCAGCTGTTGACGAACATTACGGTAGCCCCAGCCAAACTCGCAGAGCCATAGCCTAGGACGCTTTCCAGAGTACAAAAGCCGTTTCTGCAGGTATTGGTCAGCACAGGCTAGTTGTATCGCAAATGGCCGAGAAAAAGCGTCTCTTACAAGTGCATCAACGCATGTATTGATGTCTCCCAAGTTTTTTCTCCAAGATACTTGAATACGTTAGCAATGTCTGCCAGCCTCTTCTTTTAGCAGACACCATGTGGGCCCCAGCAGAGGTCTCTATCAATGAAAAAGCCTAGAACTCTGTGCGTCCTGACACTTGGTATGGCTCGGCTGTCGATAGAGATAGCGTATGGTCTCATTATCTTTCGACTAAAAGCAATCAATGTGCATTTCGCAGGTGAGATCTTCAGACCCTCTTCGTTGAGGTACACTGATACATCGTCACAGCTTTCTGAATCTTTGCACATACCTGAGGTCTTGTCACGTCAAATGCTCAGAGGCAACATAGATTACTTTACCACACTCGGTATTTGTTCCACAAGACCAATGAGAACTAGGTCAAAGAGGTTGAACTCAAGACGCCACCTTGCGGAACTTCATGGTGCGTAAGGTATTGGGAGGTTGGACCACATGAAGTGTTCACAAATAAAGTCCAGTTTTGTAAATTAGGGTATCCAACAGTACAGTTGACCACCTAGGCCCACTGAGTCAATGGCTTTGAGGATGGAATCATGGAGAACGTTGTCATATGTTCCTTTTGAATAAAAAAATACATGGCAACAGATATTCTTTTGGATGTTTTTTGATGCTGGACGTACGTGACAAGATCGATTTTATTGTCAATGGAAGATCGGTGGCGGTAGAAACTAGCCATGACATTCGGGTATAACTCATAGTTTTAAAGATACCATTCAAGTCTGACCAGTATTATTCGCTCCATAATTTTTCCAAAGCAACTTGAAAGCTCAATCAGTTGGTAAGAGGTAATTTCTAGGGTAGATTTGCTAGGCTTAAGAAGCGGTACCAAGCAGTAAATATTCCAGTGTTGTGAAATTATGCCAGCTTTCGAGGATCCTTTGAAGATGTGAAGAAGTGCATCTTGTGTCGATTCACCAAGGTGGCACTGTATCCAGTAAGATATGTCATCCGGGTCAGGCTATGCTGACCTATTCATGGGAGGAGCACCCCGTCTAGCTCCCGTAATGTGAACGGTAGATCTATGCACGTGTCCCGTGAGTAAGAAATATGGCTCAATGTATGCATGCTTGTGCACGTTGCCTGGCCCACAATCATAGCACAGAAATCTTTTGTCAGCTCAATTTCGTGTCGGCGATGAAAGAGAGCGATGGCCTGGAACGGAAAGCACTTTTCTGGAACAGAACGTAGGCCCCTCACAGTTCTCCTTATTTGAGAGAGTATTTTATGAGGATCTAGCGACGCACAAAATTTTATCCATCGTTGCGTCCCTAATTTATTGATGCGCCATGGTATCTTCTTTTGGATGCGCCGGACTGTTCGTATACCGTCTTTTAAATTAGTGTGTCGGCATCATCTTTCGGCACGACGGCGGATAACTCGAAGTCTCTTTAGCTCGAAGTTGAATTCAGAGTACTTTAGAGAGAATATTTAGTGAGCGCATAGCCGCCTATGCAGTTTCCTTATTAGCTTGCTGAAGACCATGGGAGAGCCCTCTCTTGCAAGCGTCCTCAAGTTGGGTTTTGAACATAGTGCAATCTATTCATCGTATCTTGGTAAATGAGTACGTGTTTGAAATACTTTTGATCTTCAGGTAAGTGTGGAATGTGGTCGCTTCCGTGTGTTTCAATGTCCAAAAGCCACCGTACCAGTGTAGCGAAGTGGCGAGAGATGACGGATAAATGAAGCAAACAAAAAAAAACACAAATCAAGGCAGTTGATATATGTGGTGGTGCCTGGCAAAAACACAGGACTTGCGTCAATCAGCAATGCGAGACCACGTCTGGAAAATAATGAAGCTAAACGTCATCCCGTTGAATTGACCCTTGACGTGCCCTTGACCTTGTCCAAATCGGATGATGTTCATTGAAGTGCCCGGTGATAACCCACGGATCCGGATGTGCCTTTGAGATGCCGTCCCGTCTTTTGGCGTTGAATCGACTTTATGGGGACAGATACACACCTAGGAGTGCAAAAAGTGACCTTTCCATTTTTGACAGCGAAGCACACATAATGATTGTCATTGTAAGGTTTCACTGGCTGGACGACGTATGTAAGCTCCCGGGGAATAAATACAACCTTGCTACTGCTCGATGTCACTTGATGAAAAAAAATGAATCGTAGCCTGATAGTCTGATTGGGGTGTGATAATTTTGGCTCACATATGACCATGATAAGAAATCGGTATAGAGGAACAAACTGATAGAAATTAGAGACGCGAGATGTATGACTTCATGCGTTTCACGGAGTAATCGACGATTTTCTGACTTATTGTCAAAACGACCTGTGATTGTCGGCCATGGCTTTACTGGAGGCTTGCAAGGACTGGACTCAACGCGTCGAGCACTTGTAGCGCGCTCCTTGCAGTTGGCGTATGAATGCTTGTCAGAAGACCTCTTATCACACTCACAATAGATCGGAGCAGAGGGATGATTTGACGATTTACTGTCGAAGCCTCGTCAACAGCAGAAATGGCTTCCGCTATAGAAGCAGAAATATAGCGAGAAGGCTTCTGAGAAGGCCGTGCGTTCGTAAGCGCCGGCCAGTCGTCAGGGGGGAGAGGACTCGCCGACCGAGGCATTCTTATGCTCTCCGGTTTTCTACTAGAAGTTGATCCTGGTGTAGACGGTAGCGGTGCATGAACACCACTATTACTTGGGTGTTTCCGTCGACGGCGACGCTGACGCTGGATTTTCTCTGATGATTCTATGTGGGTGGAGTTATCCTGAGCATTTGATTTAGGATATAGGCTTCTTGAGTCTTGGGCATTTCTTGGACGTGACATCATGGGTACCTCGACAGTTGCCGCATTTAAAAGTTGTTGCACAGCACGTGTAATTACTATCAAATCAATTCGTATAAATATATTGTTCGAATGCGTTAGGTACTTCGTGATATTGCTTTTCAATTTACGATTACAGGAGTGTTAGACGAATATTTATTAGCTACAATGACAACAAAAGCAGGCAGAACTCTGTTGTCACAGAGAAAAAAAGTCCCACAATTGAGTTGGCACGCCCCATCTCACCGCCTTCTCGCCCCCCAAAATAAAGAAAAAAACAAGGGAAGTGAGCCAACGTCTAATATAGCAAACACTTGTACAAAAATGATTATACTCGAAGCTCAAAGGTACTAGCTATGCGTATGGTCACATATCCTGAAGTACACTCTAATATCAAAACACCATAAACCATAAAGGTCGTCAGCTGAAAAAAACGAAGAACACGAGCAGGACTGTACTCTTTGCGAGTGCTCAACCAGGGACGTAGCCATAAATTTCTTTCTTCAGAGGGGGAGAGGGGGTCAACCTTTATGTGTGTTCGTTTGTGTGCTTGTGTTTGTATGTGTGCGCGTATACATGCGAAAGCAAAATGGAAACATTTTTGGACTAGCGTGATTTCCGCCCCCCCCCCTGGTTACGCCCATGTGCTCAATGTATACTAACATTTGTTTTTTTAAAAAGAACTTTTACATCTGTAAAACTACTCATTGCGGGACATTGTGAATATGAGTCCATTAATGAGGATACGTTTTCGAGCGAAGATATTACTTCGCAGTTGGAGTTATGACTGGGGTTATGACGTGTGCATTCCTGCACGGTCGCAAGCAATATATACAGTCATGTGACTGAGAGAGAAATTTATAAACAGGCAACTACTGTTCTAATTTTCAGGTTGTCACCTAAATAATTGCGAAAAGCTTTGAAACTTTTTAACCTTGGTGCTTTTAAGAGAAAGAAAATAATTGCGTTCATGCTCATATATATATATATATATATATATATATATATATATATATATATATATATATATATTGCTGTAAACTAGAGGGCGTGTACTGTAAAAAAATGCAACATGACGGCAATTGAAAGTACATCATAAACCGAGTAGCTATAGCCAAACTTCCTTTTCAATGACAGCCATTAAGTGATTACAGCACATTCATTCCGAATAATGAGGTGGAGATGGATTATGTACTTCCGAAATCTTAGTCTTGTGAAAGCTGGGACAAATTACTGGTCACATGCATTGGGACTTAGCCATATTGTTGGTGTACACACGTTGGGTCTCAGGTGTGGTGGTCACCTTACTCGAACCTCAATATCGTAAAACTCAGAATCCACCTCCACTGTTTCAGTAACACTCCGCAAACTTTAATGCCTACGAAACGTAGACAGGTATCACTCGCGAAACAATACGTTCAAAGAAACGGATGCATTCTGCGTCGAAATGAATGATCAGAACCCTTGATCGATATACCTAGTAAGACATTGACATCAAAGAGATATAAATGTTTGTCGTCGAAACCGATTTGGCGAAATATTATGGGGGCTTATTTGCCTCTTTCAGATTTTTCACTGTGGCTTCAAGGAAAAAAAAGAAGACAGCATACCTTCAGCAGAAGCGCGAAGTTTTCCTTGTCCTGTGGCCTTCCACCCCGTTTCTCGTAGCCTGGGTATTTCCAGATTATTTCTAGCCCGTCGAACTTATAGTCCAGCATCCAGCGTAGGGCACTCCACACGAACGCTGCACGGCTCTCCGGCGTGCTGACCATTTTCGAGAAAACCTCGCCGCCCAGGTGCCATCCACCGACAGCCAACATAGTCTTCAAGTACAGATGCTGCGTCTTCAGGTTGGTGAAGTTCAGGTATCTCTCTGTATTTCGGAGTATAATGCAATATGACGATGAGAGCAGGCTCGACAAATAAAAAAAAAACGAGAATCAAGCGCAGCTATAAATTGTGTTGCACAGAATGGTTACGCAGCACTGAGACGAGGAGAGGGAGAAATAGACAGCAGGATAGGGAGGTTAGGCGATTCTCAGACCGGCTGGCTACCTTGTGCTGGGGAACTATGAGAAATAAAAGATGATAGAAAACAAATGTCTAAAGAGAATGGAACACTCCACAAAGAGGAAAAAAGAGAATATAATATAGGACACTGTTTAAGGTCCGCCTCTAAGACCAATTGCTCGCAAGAAATGCAACGACGCTCTCGAAGCCTTTTGTGCTGAGGACGGTCTCGGTCAGAGTCTTAAGACTCCTTTCTTCGGCTATGAGCGCGTTATACTGATCACATTTTAAGCATTCTCGTAAATTTCTTGTTACAATGTAATTCCTTAGTCATGTAATAGCTACCTAAATTTTGGATGGGAAGAATGTGTAAGGTGCCACTACGATTCTCTAGGAAAACTGTGACACTATCTTCATGGTAGATACAAAGTGTAGAAGTGACAATTATCTGAAGCACATACTATCGAGAAAAAAGAGCAATAGAACACGTCCCGTAACACGGTCATATGTCTATATATACTTTTAACAAAAGTATGCGGCTTTCCATACAAGGTTTATTATGATGATTTGTGATTCGTAACACACAAGCTGTAGAGGATTAGAGCCGTAATGACGACACGTGTTTCTCTCCCTTATACTAGCCTCAGCAGAATAAAAGTGTTCAACATTTGTTTTCTCATTTCAAATGTAATAGTAAACTGCCAGTAAGTATTTGATAACTTCTTCCACATGTGCTTGAACAGAAAGGCTTATGTTCTTTGAATTTGCTGCTCTTCATTGTAGTTCCTTGCGAGTAAACGAAACCTAACGTAAATATTGAAGAGGATGATTTCAAACCAACAACTACTCATTTTTCATGCAAGGTTCATAACCATCACGTGTATTTCATACACATATTTACAGGAAGTATTACGAATGAGTTTATTTCGAGAAACTAACTACTGCGAAGAATAAATATTATTATAAAATACTGTTATAGCTAGAAAATGAATATGAAGTGTTTTATCTTACCCGAATTGGTAATATGCGTAAACTATGTCGTATAGTGATACAAACTATGTTTACTCGTATATGTTTTATAGTGATGTCTGCTGTTTACACACGTGCAGAGCTTGTTTCTGTTACACTGTAACCTAGGTGTCTTTTGTGTGCCATGAAGTTGGTCATGTAAACCTTGTACAACGCAGTCATCAAAACGTTTCCTTGTCCTATGTTTAGTGGGGTTACATACAAATATTTTTGAAAATCAGTAAGTTGAAGCCAGTTCAACACGTGAATAGGCGCAAATTCTTTATCTGTTCACAGCGAGGGAAGGTTTAGAAATAGGCCTGCAGGTGGCGGGTTCGAGTCCTGGCCGTGGCGGCCATATTCTGGATGGAGGCGAAAATGCTTCAGGCTCGTGTGCTTAGATTTAGGTGCGCGTCAAGGTTCCCCAGGTGGGCGCGATTTTCGGAGCCCTCCACTACAGCGTCTCTCCTAATCATGTGATGGTTTGGACACGTTTAACCCCAACAATTATTATTATTATTATTATTATTATATTATTATTATTATTATTATTATTATTATTATTATTATTATTATTATTATTATTATTATTATTATTATTATTATTATTATTATTATTATTTATATTATTACTATTATTGTTAAGGTTTCGTAAATCTGCCTTCAAGTGTTTTTTTGTTCTATATGTTTTCTATTGTGCACCAAATGAGCTGGCACTTCGACTTGTTATGAATACTAACCTCCAACCTTTCTCTTATAGATTGTAAGCAAGCGTATGTAGCTACATTTCATGTCAGAGGCCCCACTTCTGAGCAGAGTGATTTAATACAGAAAGCGGAAATTCTTGAGTTACCAACAGCTGAACCTCACTCATTTATTATTTGAATTTCATTTAGAAATGTGTTGGATTTGGCTACTTGGTGTTCGATACTTAGACAAGGAAAAACGTGAAAGGGGGCAAGCGTTTACTTCCACAAGGAGCTAGTGCATAAAGAACGAAAAAAATTAAATGCCTCTGTCCCTCTTTTTCCCATTTTTCACGTCCGACAGTTTAATTTGTTTAAGATTTTTAAACATTCAACTACTATTATAGGTGTACACTATGCTTTCAGTACTCCGTTACAGGGCATAGTCAGTGTTGCATCTGGTCTGCCAGTATTTTTAGTGAACTAAGTGTTTAGTCCTATTCTATTTAAGAATTCAAGAGGCGCTGGTCGCCCTCTATGGACTTACTTAACAGACTAATATGACTCATGACGTCCGTTCTAATATACCCATCGTGAAACCAGCCTGTTTTTCGAACTAGCTGAAGTGTTGCTTTTGTTTTACTGAAAGTAATTTTGGTGGATATTATGTGCCGTAATCGAAATTCCTCTCCTTCTCACTTACAGGGCTACACATTTTCCATTCTTTAAAGTATTCATTTTTGCGCCATGAGTATATATGTGCATTCATTGCACGGCTCTGGAATGACTAGGAATCGTCAGGTATTACACATAAATGACTGCATACTTTTCTAGTATAGTACCTGCTCTATAAGTTTGACCAAATAACTTATTTTCTTTTGTATAGTCCCTCTTGTGGGAGATGAGTGGCAAACACTCGTTGTATTCATACATCCAGCTTCTGTCTTTCATCTTTTTTTTGTTATAGGCACTTCCTGTCAAGGTAGCACGACTCCTGACACTGTATACGCCCGTCTGTATCGTCGACATGGTTATCATATTGGGCTGGTTATTTTTTTGTAGCAGTATATTATGACTGTGCTTATGGGGGACGTAAAGCGAAAGAATTTCGGGTTAATGTATATTTCATTGTGTAAACTAAGGCCACGTGGTTTCTAAGGTCAGATGGAACAGCACTGCAGTCATCTCTTGAACACTTTCTCTTTTGATGTGCTTATGACAAAAAAAAAAAAAGGAAAGATGCTTTAGGTTGGCGACCAAGCATTGCTCGCATTTGCTTCCGAATGCGCGCAGTTGTCAGAGTATTATCGAGAATATCCAGCGCCTTGACGCTGTTCAAGGGCGACTCACGGCTGTCCTCCTGGTATTCCGGAATCATGCTCTTAAGCTCGAAGGTCTTGTCATCGATGCCGGCAAAGGCCAGCACCACGAAGGTGCACATGTCGAGCGGCACGTCTTCCACCTGGTAGTTCATGGGGCTGGGGCGCCGGCTTGCCCAGCCGTAGTAGTAGCAAACCACGGGCACCTCGAACTTGTTCCGAGGAATCTGGATGCCCTGGATTGCATCACTGCCTGCCGCGAGACATGAAACGGAGGAAACGTTTTATGGCGTGACACTAGCGAACGTTTCGAGAAGTGCCAGGCAAATATATATTCATCGCCGTGAACCCTGGAAGGCAAGTTGTCTGCAGTGCATACAAATAAAGTAATTCTAAGAGCAAGTGTGGAGACACAAAGTCAGACGGGCTCAAGACTTTACAGAGTGACATGCATGCGCGTCTCGTTGTTGCATTAAATCGTAAAATTTATGGGCGAGAACGTTTGTGAATACGAAAAACTGCGAAGTGGGGCTTGATAAAAATATCACGCTTAGTCAGAAATTCCGCAACTTGATTTTTATCAGCGTCTTCATGGACCCAATTGTGCGGGTGTTATTGCGTTTTCATCCTGCGGGACATGCGGTCATCGTATCGTTGGTGCATTCGCAACCTTGTGCTTAGCTGGACGAGGTCAGAACAAGTAGACTGTCGGGCCAGATTCGTGTAGAAATGACATAGGCAGAAACTTGACACAAATTTGAAAACCACTGCTCGCCTCTAGGTCACCGTTGTATAAGCAGCCGGAAGAATTTCTGGCCCAAACTGCACCGCGCAGAAAACTAGTCATTTGTAATGATATTCTACAGGTTACTTTATTATTGAATAGCATAACAAACTTTATTGGAGCGCTTTATAATCTGGGGCCGGATTCACAAGAGTTTACATTCTTAATAGGTTCTTCCCTTTGGTTAGCCATTTGGTTCTCATAAATTTCTTCGATAAACTTAGAAACAAAAGAAACTAATGCACAGCGTTTACCTACAGCCACTGATCTCGTATCCTCTAACTTAAGGTGTTGACAGGAGCTATATACTTCTTAATGTATGGGAACTAAAATTCTTCAGTATCGGTCGTTTGTAAGTCAGCAGTTCACAAAATTTTATGCAAAAAAAGTTAGCTACAGAAGCGGTAAAAACATTGAGAGTACTTGAGAGTCTCGAAAGGCGGAAATACACACCTTTGCTCACTGCAGTAACTGGTTGCAGAAAAACAGCTGCTAGGCAAATCGGCAGCGTGAGCCACATCTTGTTCTCCGTGGTCCCTCGAGTGCAGAGTGACACCAAAGTCCACGCGTCTCCTGTCAGCGCTCGCACGGTCGAAGTGTGGGTGTTCTAGGCTCTGGAGCGGCGAAGTCTCTTACTGTGTGATTTCACCGAAAGGCTGCAACATTAGGTCCAATCAGATCTGGTCCCACAAGGAAGAGTTGTGCCTTATCTCGAGGAAAGCAGTATTGATCGCCTAATGAGCAAGAAGATTACGACACTGCGTCCAGTACGATGCACAGCGTGGTGTCTTGGGCGGGGCGTCTGATCTGAATGCAACAACGAAGTTCATGCTGGCAGGTAGAGGATGCGCTGTAATCTCTCTTCGTTCCCTCTTGGAACGTCTCAGTGGTAGACAGCGTTATCTTAACTTACTGCAGGAAGCCGGTGTAGTGGTAACGCTACCGCTGCCTAGTGGCGGCAAGACATGGACGACAGCGGGCAACCGGCTTTTTGCTTCTAGCGATTGCATGGGACTCCTCTCAGTGTGTTTTGGGGCGCCGGAGCTGGCAGTTCTCTCCTCTCCTCTCTGCTGTCTTTCCACGTGCTCGCGAGTGCCCTTCGCATGTTTTAGGTCTTATGACGCGATTCTCTCGTCTTTCTGTAGCTGTTCTCTCTAGAGTGTTTTTTTTATTAATGTCCGCTTTCCACTCGAAGGTCGAGCGTGCCACGCGACGGCGCACAATTTTGTTGTTGACTGCGTCTGTGCACGTGCGTGCCCCTCGCTCATTCGGTGCTCCTCTCTTGGCCGGATTTTGCCTTTTGTCGGCGCTGCGAATGCCTCACGCGCCCGCACGTCGCGAGCTTTCGCGGACAATTGTTCACCACCTGAGCGTGGTCAATGGTGCCTGCTAGTTGACCATTTGTGTAAGCGGAACTGTCGTCTCCTAATGGTTTTGCCTCAACGCCAGTTATTGCGGCTTAAACTTGATAGTTGTCAAGGGGTCGTACACCTCAATGTGTATGTAAACATAAGTTATTCTGGCCATGAACAGAATCGCCAGAATCTACAAATATTTGGGCGTAATCATTGATAAGATGCTTAGTTGAGCACGTATGGGACCAATTGCGTGTACCATCAGGTGCTGTTTCAATGGCACCTGATGGTAATTGCGCAATTGTATAAGTTTTCGGGTCTTCTTACGGAGCCTGGGTTATGTTGGTATGCGCAATGTTAGAATTGTACGGAGTAATTTCTCTCGAGTTTCTGAGATATAGTTTGCCTGGAGCAACCAGCAATTACAAAACAACTCTTCGCGCTCTGCAGGCTGCACAAGCTGAGGCAATCAGACTATGCTCTTTCCTGCCAAAATTTGCGTCATCAGAGTGCAACACCAGAGACCAATTGATAGAAACAGACATTGCGATGGAAGCCTTGAGAGCTATTCTCAGAATTTCTGCTTGAGCTCGATTGACGATTGATTTGTGGGGTTTAATGTCCCAAAACCACCATTTGATTATGAGAGACGCCGTAGTGGAGGGCTCCGGAAATTTTGACCACCTGGGGTTCTTTACCGTGCACCCAAATCTGAGTACACGGGCCTACAACATTTCCGCCTCCATCGGAAATGCAGCTGCCACAGCTGGGATTTGATCCCGCGGCCTGCGGGTCAGTAGTCGAGTACCTTAGCCACTAGACCACCATAGGCGGGGCAATTTCTGCTATACCTTGCAACATCGCCTTAAGAAAGACCTGAAGCACCACACTGTGTAACTATATCGCGCAATAGACGGGCTTCTGCCCCGTATCAAAACCGTCAATGCCACCTTGGTGTTTGTTTTGTGCGGCAGCCTACATCAGTGCACCAGCAATCAGGAAAAAATCTGAGTTGTAATCGCCTACCCTGAGACAGCTATCCCTGCTTATACTGCATAGAAGTATTCTGTCCTCGCACATATTTACGCGGATGACTCAACGACTATCCAATGTTCGTCCGGAGTGGTGGTTGGCCCAAACAGAGCTTCTAACAGTTCGTTTGTGGCTGCAGCACTTGCAGCTCCCCGCGTGGCACTTCTGTTGACAATCGCGAACAGCCACATCGGTGGTCGATTTATAGCCACTCCAAGGCCGCCTTACAATCTCTGTTATCAGCCATGCTGCATGGACCTCATGGACATCTGGTATTCGATATCAGAAACCTCATTTATGCGTCATCTCAGCAAGAGCTATATGCTACATTTCTATTGGTTGCCAAGTCACTGCGGCGTGATAGCCTACCAAAGAGCCCATAACTGAGTGCGATCGGCCTCACAAAGCGGACACCTTTCAAGGCTTGACGCTGTGCCCAAGCTTTGAATGATCGCAGAGTGCATTACACGCACTGTATACACTGATTGCAGCAAGTAGCGAAAATTGTCAACAACACCAATAGATCGCGTCACTATGGTTTCAATAGCCAAGTGGAATCTACCAAAATACAGGGACAGGCCATGTTGCTATGTCTTTCTAAGGGTAGGTTTGCCAAAGTCATCATCGTTCGGTTTCGGAGTGGTCGACAACGTTCTTTGCTATTTGTAATCATAGCGGGGACATTGCAGATAATTTTCTGCGACTGTCCTAGCTGCACTGTGTTGAGACGATTACTTGCAATCACTCTCCCTCGCTTTTACCACAGACTGATGTGGCTAGAAACTATCTTTGAATTCAATCTCGAAAACTAATAAAGAAGGCAATAAAGGCATTGTTAAAGTTTATCTATGAACAACAGACTTGCACGAGCAGCTGTAAACTGATAACAACGCTATACAAACTACACACCCGTCAGACTGTGACGTTGTGTTTCTGTGCTCCTTCTCTCTCTTTTTTACTCTACACTTATTTCAAACATCACTTCCCTTCTTTTTGTGCAGCATAGATTATATCGGCTACGCTAAACTGGTTTATATCTCTGCCTTCGCTTTCCCACCTGTTTCTCTCCCTTCCTTTAATTCAAGTTCATCACGGAGCATATTGGCATCAATGCAATTGAGATATTTCAGGAAAGCGGGCTCACATTTTCTGCAAAAGCTTCTTCACAACGTGAACCATTGTACATTGGTATCGTGTTTATAACATACGCAATGCTGCTAAATTTGGATTGGTGTCATTGCCCACCCGATGTAGCATGTTGGCAGCCTGTTCTTGTCAGATCATGAGTTTTTCTGGTTCTTGCGCTATTTGCATACGTCAATATGCTTGTCAGTCCTGTGACTCATCCTCTTATCTTCATTCGGTAACACAATCCAGCGTCCCGCTTGTCAATTTTCCTGATTGTTAGCTTTGCTGCTGCTCTCTAAAGCATAGTTTCTCCACTATAATATTTGGAAGCATACGTTAGTTTGAGCCGTTGCTCCATGGCGACCGCTGTCGCAGTGCCTTTGCTCATCGACCTTTAACCTCATTAGAATGCAACCTATACAGTAGCCGATCGTTAGTCCCTACACACAGAGGAGTTGACCTGACCGGGAAAATGAGTTGTTGATCTTGGATATTGTGCTTTGTCAGATATTTCAATAAGCAGCAATAATTTAATACCAAGTTTCCTTATGTGCGCCTATGCTGATCTTTTTCGCTAATGTATATGAGCGACCAACTGAAAGATAGTTTCGTGAGAGAATTGGGAGAGAATACAGTAATTGCAAAGTATTTAGGCTACTTCAAGAAAAAAAATAATCGAAACAAAACAAACGAGCAAATATGAACGCCACCTACTACTGTTCAGGGTTGCGGAATGAGAGTGGAAGCTTTTTGATTTGTCAAGTTCTTGCCGTTTCCGGCTATGTTTTCTACTCGAAGCTGCACTTTGTGCTTCTAACAGTGTAGCTATAGTATGAGCGTACGCATGAAATACCTCATACACAGACGCAACTCCATAGCGATTCGTTATCAATCTCAGCTAAAGCAGCGTCAATGCACGACCGAGAAGGTCGCAATTGTTTTAGCACGCTCAAGTCACCGAATGACCAGTCGCCCACGTAGGCTTGCAGTCCAGGAGTCACAATTTTTGTTCAGCCACCTGCTGCTATATTTTACAACTGCTACATAGAGTGAAAACTCTAGCATTGAGCGAGAGCCGAAAAAACGGTGGTAAGGAATGTGCATCTACTTAGTGCCGTCAGAGTCTGTAGATCAGAACCACCAGACTGAACTAGGTTCATGGAAAAACAATAACAGGATAGAACGCCTTTAGCAGGTATTCCTTAGATCATAATGGCAGTTTATCAGCATCCGTCAAAAGAATGCATGTAAAAGCTGTGTGTTACCACTACATACCTATACTCAAAGAGACCTCGAGACTCACGAAAAAGCTTCAACTTAAAAAGACACAAAAGCGAAACAAAATGTTTGGACTGATAGAATGTAATCAGAAAACTCTCGTGTAAACATCACGGCCCCGGTTCCATAAATAAATAAAGATAATTGAGAAGAGTTTCGCTTTAAAATTTACCCTATGGTGACATCACAGATTTCGAACTGCATTTTCGCACCAGAAGTTCAACGGCCACATTGGCAGTCAGGACTGGAGAGGGTTTCATTCCGGTGGGGGGTGGAGAGGGTTTTACCGTAGCTTATGTTATCAGTATTATGTGTTTGTGCTTGCGTTTGTATAAATCATTGGCTTAAACTTGGTACGTTAAGTCCGTGGCTGCCGTGGAAAACAACGTTCGGCACATTAACCGATAAGGAATTTGGCCCTTGTATGGAGCACATCAAAATATTTGTCTTCATTGAAACTGGTACGGGAAATTCATGTAGGTGAGACCACCCACATTTTATTTTTATTTTTGTGTGTCTTCCAGCAGCAAGCGCAATGTTCTCACTAACGATAACGAGTAATATGCTTACACAAAGAGATAGATCGTTTTTCTTTTTAGTACACCCTTAAACTGAGAACGACGCAGTCAGCCATGTAAATGAAATAATTGGTGTAACGTCAGAAGTAAAAGGGAGAGCACAGCGAGTCCGGTAACTAGCACTTGTAAATTCTATCTTAGTCGGAACGAAGAAGAAATGAGCAGTGGCAGATCATGTGGTAAGCTGGAGAGATAACATCCACCCAATTCTTGGCCGATTCCTCTAAGTGGTCACATGCCAATCGTCCATGAGGCATCATCATAATCATTATAATCACCACCATCTTTCGTCATTATTAATAACACCGTGTAACACAGTAGACACTAAGACAAGGCAAGCGCGGTAAGAGGAGTGAGTACGTTAGGCGAGCAGAATAATTAAGAAAATCACTGGTTTAAGGCAGTCGATGCGAGCACTCGACTGAGATGAACAAAGACGCTACATTAGCGGTCACACGCGAGGAATGACACGAACTAATGTATGCCTCCAAATAGGATTGTGGAGATGCAGTGGTCAAGAGAGCAACGCCAAACTTAACAATAAGAAAATTGATGAGAGGGATGCTCGCTTCTTTTACGGAAATATAAGAGCAGAATGAGTCACAGCACTGTTAAGCATATGGGCGTATGTAGATATGACAAGCACAAGATTAAAAAAATCACAGCATATACGTACGGAAGCACGGACGAAAGAATGGAGGGACGGAAGCATGGCCGGACAGATGGATGGATGCATAAATGGACGGACAGAATCACGGACGCACGAACGGATGGACAGACGAATGGACGCGTGGACAGACAGACAGACAGACAGACAGACAGACAGACAGACAGACAGACAGACAGACAGACAGACAGACAGACAGACAGACAGACAGACAGACAGACAGACAGACAGACAGACAGACAGACAGACTGGTGGACGCGTGGGCGGATTCTCGGAAGAACAGACAGATGAACGAATGCACGGACGGACGGACAGACAGACGGATGGATGGACAGACAGAAGCATGAACGAACAGACGGACAGACTAAAGCATGGACGGACAGGCTTGTCGTACACCCGATGCGAAGCCCGTAATAAGCGAACGCACAGGTTCGGTATAACCTAGATGTGGCATGAAATTCTTACTTCTGTAACCTAGCGCGTACTACTGGCCTTCTAGTGTGAATTCGTGGCAGTCGCCTAATATGAAATGCATTGCCGTTTCAGTCACTTTTTCTTCAAGGACACCAGACCAAAGCAAATGAATAATTCGATAATTGCAGCTGTGTGAAGCGTCACAAGATGTCTATGCAATTAACTTATAAGCCAGTATTTCGCGAGGCACTTTGCGTTCACCGGACAACCGAACAAGATAAATACTTCTATTGTTGCCGTGTGAATAAAAAGGCCGATATAAAAAAAGAGCACTGCTTGTCATCACAACACACCTTTATTCACACATTTAAAAAGAACGACTGGAACATGGCAAGAGTGCTGCATGTCCTGCATGTTGGGTATCATTGCCGAACTCTCGCGCATACAGGGGAAACGCACTGCACATATTTAAGTACGTGGTTTAAAGACACCACCAGTTCCCATGCGTGTGTTATAAAATGTGGCTAATTCGCACTATAAAAGTTGACTTTCAACCGGTTTGCGTTCATAGACAATAGGAAAAAGTGAACAAAGAAACAAGACTTTGAAAGCTGTCTTTGATACCTAACTACTGCCACACAGTCTAACTAAACGTTCTCTTTTAATTTGTAGGGCGAAAAGCATGAAAATAACGATATTCTTTTACTTCTTTAGAATACGTACGACACCCCTCACGTGGAAAAGTAGATTTGTTGCCCAATCTATGTAGTAATGCTGCACACGTTTCGTTTTAATCAAGGTGCAATGAAGTGCGTCAGACTGAATGCATTTGGAACTTTTATTTGCCAAAAACACGACAAATTAGATCCGTTGATGCGCGAGAGTGCCTGAAATATTACTTGTCCACAGAACCTACTACGCACATTGAGGTTCTAGCCATCGGTTTAACTGTGATTTTCGCGATGCATGATGGCCGACGACAACGTGTGGCATGGTTGCTCCTAAGCCATGTTTTCTGATACAGAATGTTAGAAATTCGAGCAGATATTCACTTCAAGGGTCTGCTGCTGCGCATGAATCTCTAGGAGAGCTGGTTAAGGAAATCGCTGCACAAAGTTGTGTGAATGTTTTGTGTGCACCTGGACACAAATGTTGAGGTGCCTATAACATGCGAGTGGTAGGGCACAACTTTCGTAAGATCAGTAAGGATGTTGAAGAATGGCAGCAACTGTAATGATGGGCGTATCAAGTCAAGGTATGCACTTGTTGTATCCTAACTTCCAATAAATACAAACACTCGGTGCAAATGAAAACGCGAAGGAACAATAAACGAACAAGATTCATAGCGTGAAAAGTGGAGTTCCGTCATCAAAACACCATACGTGAATAATGCTCTGGCAAACACGTGATCGTTACAAAGTTCCCCAGCATCGACGAGTACCATAAGCCGGAAGCTGAAATTGCGTTACCCTGTCGAAATATGTTAGATGGTTATAAAATTAAGGATGGAAACGCGTTAAGTGCCGGAAAACAGGTATATAAAAAGCTTGTGCCGATGAATGTTATTCGTAAATGCCCGTTACCATTAGTGCAATTCTCAAATGACAATTTATGATGCAGTCGCCTAGGAGACTTTTCTCTCTATGACCTATGATGTTTTTATATCCAAATACGATTGCTGGCTCCGGCAGTAGGCATAGTGATCCAGCGCCCGGAAATCCAGTGCCCGGTGCACTTTGCTAGCCAGTATCATACCACCAAATGGGGGGAATGCCCTAAGGAAACGTCATCCTCTTTGTGGACATTGAAAAAAAAAAAGGTCCTCGCTTTACTAGTCTTATTTTATATGTTATAAATTAGTATAAGTGGCGTGAAAAATTTAAACCACATATAGTGTTTACTCGAAACAGTGAAACAAGCGCCAAGAGAATATTTTTGAGGACTGTATGCCATCCAACCTATGAATATTTCCAACAAATGACACATGAACAAAAAACTAAAACTGCATCGAAATGCCACGAGCTTGAATTATAGAGTTCAATTCTTTCGCTTCCTGACATGGCTGACTCCATTTCCGCTTGATTCATCAGTGAGACCACCCATGTGACTGCTGCTTCGTTCCGCATCTAATGAAGGTGAACAGTGCTACGCGCTCTCATCTTCTATCTCCTTATGCGGGCGCTTGGGTTTTCTCGTGATGTGCTTGCACTCAGGCCTGTCCACTCTCTCAGGCCAGTCGCAGTTGCCATTGTCCTGGTTCCAAACAGTGCCTCCCTCGCAGAACATCACCATGGGCGTCCCGTACACGCACCAGTAGTACTTGGTGCAGTCGTTTTCGTGCGGGATGAAGGAAATGTTGGGGCTGTCGCAGTCTCGCGGGTAGCTCTTGGTCGCGCTTGTCTTGGGCGTGGTCAATTCAGTGCTGGGCGTCGGAGTTGTTGTCGACTTCCACTGGCCGTCGTCGAACGTCGAGCGTTGTGGAGTCGTTGTGGGTTCCGGCTGAGGCACGTCGTAATCAGCCAGCTTTTCGTAGATGACGTTGATCAGCGCGTTCTTGCGGCCGCACACTCCCTGAAAGTCGTCCATGTCGACGGCCCAGATCATAGCACCACCGTAGCCCTGGCCCATAATGTAGTCCATCTGCAAGAGAATGAATGAAAGTCGATATGAAGACATATGATTATAAGGAACGCATATTATACGAAAAGACTTTCTTCAACTGTCATATACTAGTTATGATGGTTGTTTTTTGAACAGTGCTTTTTCTTTCTTGTAGCAGAATGTTACAAATTGCATGAATACCTTCGTCACCACTATTGATTAGAATTTTGTCACAAGAATTGCGAGAAGTCCTCGCTACACTACGTCCATGGGAGTCAATGAAAGCATCTCAGCGTTAAAAGATAGCATGGCCAGCCGTAATCTTCATGTTCATTCAGTACAGCATATGTAGTGTAATTTATAATCACTACAACTCCCTTGCAGAAGCACATGACTCTTCATGATGCACTGTAGCCTGAAATAGCTGAGCATGTTACCATGGAGAAAGAAATATTCCTGAAAGTATGCCGAATTTCAAGGTCAAATACCGACCAAAGAGTGTAGCGCTGTAGAGAGAAATAGTTAACTTCAGCAGTAATTTTCTTACCTTGCGGATACCGAATATATATATATATATATATATATATATATATATATATATATATATATATATATATATATATATATATATATATATCTTTATATAAAGCCATGCTTCTGTATGCCGTGACAACAGACTTACACTTACGCATGCTTATTTTACCACACTCAGGCAGAGCAATTACATGCATGCCTCTGAAACTGTAAGCACTACATCTGCCCATAACTTCACCCGTTATTTCTTCCTTTAGTTCTTATTGTTTTCCTCCCCTTCCTCACATACGACAATGCAACATCACTACATGACAGACGGCTCTATACTTTTCTAACCCAACTTTCAGTTATGCAAAGGTCCACTACAGAAATCATTCGATATTTCCTCTGGTATTGCCCGTTGTGTCTTCACAACTGTTATTGTTCGTCGTGTTTTTATAACTATAGCAATACGTGGCGTTAGGGTGGTGCAAGGTTCACTCATGCAATACTTGGTGTTTTGCCGTGTTATGTATCTCCATCCGGTGCACAATTGCGTAGCAGAATTTCAAGTTTGCTTCAAGACCGATGCTCTCTCTTTCTCGTTCGCTCACACACACACACACACACACACACACACACACACACACACACACACACACACACACACACACACACACACACACACACACACACACACACACACGCACGCAAGCACGCACACGCACACACACACGCACGCAAGCACGCACACGCACTCACACACACACACACACGCACGCAAGCACGCACACGCACTCACACACCCACACACACACACACACACACGCACGCAAGCACGCACACGCACTCACACACACACACGCACACACACACACACAGACACACGCACACACGCACACACACACACACACGCACGCAAGCACGCACACGCACTCGCACACACACACGCACGTAGGCACACCCAACATTGCACGCGCATAAACTACACATACGTACTTATATAAGTATGCGTAGTACGTACAGGCATGAGCAAAAGTGTGCAGACCACGGGATTGCTTGGCCGAAGGCATCGACGCGCCATCTAGCGACGAGACGCCTGCTGCGGTGCGCATGCGCGTTCCATCGTATCGGTTGGCCCTTCATGTCGCTTTCACTGATGCGATTACGGCTCTTGTAGCCAAAATGGTGACTGGGTGTCACTCTCTGAGCTCCATCGATTTTGTGCTGTTTTTTTTTTGTTTCGAATTACGTAGCGGCAGCGATGAGGCCGGTTCCAGCACCGAGATCGCGTCGTTATTTACACGTGTTGATAAAAGTGACTAAGCGTAGCTAGCATCGCAAAACCTGATGAAACTAAGTACACAAAATGAAGCTTTCCGAGCTGAACTTGCCTTTGTTGATGCATGCTGCATGGCACTAAAGGTGAAATCGCGTTCTCGGGCGATCGTTCCCTTTTCTTGATAGCGCATTATTTGCCTTGTTTCCCATACTCGTAATTTAGATACTTTCGTTTGCACATCTTCAGAGAAAAGAAAAGTGCAATGGTACAGGCTTCTTGCGCTGGGCAAGCTTGCGTGAATAATTACTCCACATTAAACACATTTACTTCCAAGAGTGTCTATGTAGCAACGAATTTCTCAATTAGGCATAGTTAGGCTGAATTTGCATCATTCTGTGACGTCAAACTTGCGTACCTCAGGTGAACTTGTATGTTTCACAAATTATTAGGTAATAATTATAAGCAGTGCTGAGGGTGACTAATTTTTTTGCCTAATGAGATTTGACTAAGTCAGAAGTAATTTAGTATCTTCCTCAGCTTGGATTATTTCAGCTCATAGAGATTCGCCTTCCATTACTTTATTGTGTTTAATGAGAAGTTACTGAATAACACTTACTTAGAGTTAAATTTGTTTGATTATTCTATGATCAACCATACTAAGTCACATTTATTCATTCTTACCTCGGTTTTGCCAATATAGCCTAGTTATGTGTAATTAGCCTAGTTATGTCACCTGAAACTGCAGTCATTTTAGGTGCTTCATTGGATAACAGGCTAACTAATCAGTCATACTTAGTGAGCATCTTAACTAACCATAAGTAGGCATTAATGAGCCTAATTAGTGTAGAGTCACTAAGGTCTGTTTAGTGTCTGTCTTCCTGGGTTTAGCTTCTCTTGGTTCATGGGGAAGTCGACTTGAATTGATTAGGCCGCGATAAGGTTGGCCTTTTGTGGGATAATTTTGCTCGGCTGAAGTAAATGATAGCGTGTTCAACGATGCCTAATCGGTTTGAACATGCGTGTACAATTAATTTAGCCGTCAGGGCATCATAAAACAGTAAGCTGGACTGGGCTTAATTAAATTTACTTACATCTGACTTGTTACAGATGCTACCACACTCAAATAAGCTTAATTAGATTCGGCTACACTTATATCGACTTAACGAGGCTCATTCAAGTTCAACTTGGCTTATCCCTTTTTGTGCTGAGCCTCACCTGGTTTTTCGATGCTAGCTACGCTTAGTTATGCTAAAAACTGGCACAAATAACGACACGAACCCGGCGCTGGAACCAGCCCCATCACCGCTGATACGTAAATTAAAACAAAACAAAAAAAAACAGCATACGTTTGATAGAGCAAAGAAAGCAACACCTCATTGTCGTTTTGGCTGCGAGCGCCGCAACCGCGTAAGATAAAGCGATATGAGGGGCCAACTGATTATAAGACGGGGCGCACTTGCTCACCGCAGCTGGCATCTCGTCGCTAGATGGCACGTCGATGCCTTCGGCCACGCGATTCCGTGTTCTGCACACTTTTGCTGAAACCTGTGCATCAGACCACGGCCGCACTAGAGGAGCGGCATGCGCGCACTGTCTTACGGCCTGCGCTTCGTGTTTAGTTCCCACCTTTCGCAGCCTCTAGTTCATGGCACTGCGGCCCAACCCCCGCTAAACCTTGGCAAAACCAAGGAGGTTACGCCCACCGAGTTTAACGTGGCAACTTTTTCTCGTCAATTAGTGCTCAAAGTGCGTCTCTCTGTTGCAAGTTTTTTTTTTAAGCTTCAACTTCAAGGCAAGCTTTCTAGAGATTGAGTTACGGAAACTCGTCTCTTAGGTTATTTCATCAGAAACAACTGTCTTTTAATATAGTATAACGTGCGCGGTTTTCCTTATCGATTGAAATCGAACATCTTTATAACAATCCTTTATAACAGGCGGAAGTATAAATTGAAGGATAGCTGCTGAAGCAGGCTGGTCAGAAGCGAGGCGTTGACCTGAGGCCTGCGCTTCGGGTCTGACTCCCACCTAGTTCATGGCACTGCGGCCCAACCATCCTCTGCAACTAGCTGTGAAGAATATCTTTATTGTTCCCTCTTTGGGTGCGCAGACCTTAAGAGAGTGCGCGTGTGCTGCTCTTCTGGTCCGGCCGTGAACAGGCTAAGCTAGCAGGTGTGGACGTCTTGGTTTTGTATGACACAGGGTGAAAGCTCACAAGACGAAGACAAAGAAGAGGCTTGACACACTCGAGTGCTGTGTGTCAAGCTTCTTTTCTGTGTCAAGTCCCTTCTGTGCCTTTACTTATGAGCTTTCACCATGTGTCGTACGTCAGACATTGACCCAAACACATTTGTAATGCTGATATTGGTGGTAGCTGACGCAGTTACAGTAGTTATTATGCCTTAAGGGCAAGTTTAGGTCACAATAAAAAATGGCACAGTGTATGCCTAAGATAGGCAGTCTTCATCTAAAGCAGTTGTAATCAAAACTGCTGAGGAGCTTTCTTGTCTGATAGGTATAATCAGTTTGGTAAGAACGATACACATTGTTAACGTGTTTTATAACAGGCCGAAAGTATAAATTGAAGGATAGCTGCTGAAGAAGTCGGAATAATCAGCCTTTCCTGGTTTCTCGGGGTCACTGAACATTTGATGCCGATTCTACGTACCGCTCGTATAAAGTGCACAGAAAAACAGGTGACGCCTGCTGCCAAACGAGGAATTGAAGGTTTTCCGCGATAGTGCTGTTAACATTGACAGCGTTTTCCTTGCAAGTCACGTAGGTGCCCATCTACGGCGCTCTATTTAGGCCGTAAAGACCCCGAACTTCGAAGGAAATTTCGGAGGGTGCAGGGCAGTGGGTTATCGGCTGTTAGCAAGGTTATCATTAAGCTGCAGACGCATTGACCCCGCATGTTCCTGGATTATAGAGATTGCCTACGGGGAGAAAAGAAACAATACACGATTTGCATTTAACGTAATTTGACGCTTTCGTATATATTAACTGATATGTAGAAGAGTTCATCGAACTGCCTAGGAGTACGATTGTGATGAGGCAATAGTTAACTTGTTACACGCACAGGAACGCTCCAGTGTAATGAAGAAAGCTGTGAAAATTTGAGCTTGATACTTGTGCCTTCCCCAACTTCGCTTACTGTTGTTTCTGAAGCCTAATGGTACTTTAGAGATGCTTTTGTCAAGTACCGCCTGTAGACTGTGTGTGCTCCCCGAGTGTGCTCGTGATTGTGTGTACCTTCTCATCTCTCTGCAACCTCTTTTCTCCCCTTTATCCCTTCCCCAGTGCAGGGTAGCAAACCGGATGCGCGTCTGGTCAACCTCCCTGCCTTTCCTTGCATCTTTATCTCTCTCTCTCTCTCTTTTGTCAAGTATGACATGGTCAGCACTTTTTGCTGTTGCAGTGAGGGAAAATCGCATGACCCTGCATCAGTAATACGTTATGTCATATTGAGCTAAGGGTTTTACACATATCAGGAAGGCCACACGTAAAGTTTATGAAGACGTTTTCCTGCCACTTTAAATGACGTTGGCCTAGGCACCACATAAAATTTTAATTTTACAGTGGAAGTAGTGAAACACCACCTAAAGTGGGCGTCTGGCCGCAGATGTCTTTCAACTGGTTCATTATTGAAGAACATACGACAAATTAGACTTGCTGTCTCACGGGAAGCTTCACTGCCTTTGCTCACAATGTCTCGTCCTGCTTTTGAACTAGCGTGAGCAGGGTTGCTTTTGAGCGAAATCACCACGACTTCATGTCTGCCAAAGTCATTCATCGCGTCCCATAGACCTTGAGCAGAAAAACGCAAGAGCAATGTAAAGGCGAGTCCGGCCACCCTTTGGAAGCGAAGAGCCGCACTTGTTTCTCGCCCAACTCGAATGCTACAGCCATAGCTCCTGTTCTTTCATCTCTGGGGTCTCTCGCTCCTAGCCACACCACGTGATCTACTGCGCAGAGGATTCGTAGCTGTGCTAGCCCGGAGCCTCACTAGTGCAGTACCAAGGAACAAGCGACCAAGCCAAACATACTTTTCGCTCGTGATAACTTGGTGCGCAGAAGGTAAACATGAGCTAATTTTTGTTACCTGCATTCCACACCTTGGTAAGCGCCTCCTTTTTTCCTTTATAGTTTTCGGCACATTAGTGCATCTATACCAACTAAAACGGCGCATTATGAATTGTATGATTTCATTACAGTGAGGTGCCATGACCGATGGTGTTGAAACCAGTGCATTTACTGAGAGGCACTTGTGCGTGTGAGATAGCATCTGTGGCTGAACGCAGTACTCTGGCTCGTGGGGTGAAAATCACACAGGATGAAGCTTGATATAAGTGATGTTTAAGTGCACATATCCATCCGATCAATACTTCACAGACTTGTGCGCTGCGCTTGTCTGCGCATCACTCATAAATGGAGGGACCTCTTTAAAGGAAATTAGTATGCATGAAATTATCCATAGTTAAGCTTTCTAGAACTGAAAATACACGTGTTATGCCTACCCTGACTTCTTTAGCGCCTTGATTTTAAGCTCAAGTATTCATTATACTCGGGTGTAAGAAAAGAAGAAATTGGCTTTTCGCCGCCAAAAAAAAAAAAAACCCTTTCCCGCCAATGGCGCCGCTGTGTCATCGTGACGTCACGGCAGACCTTCACGTAAAGCTCCCGAAAAAAATAAAAAAGCGTGTACTTCCACACTCAAGTGCGGACCTCCACCAAAATGGCCGCCTCCGCTGTTCGCGACAATCCATCGGCGTCGTGAGAAAGATCACGTCGGCAACGGCGATCACCGTCGTGTTTTGTCTACTGCGTAATCGCTCGGCGCAGCCTGGAAATAACCGACGAAATTAGTGCCGTTGATCGGCTCTTCAATACCATTTGTGACGCAAAACAGTCGTTATCATATTCGGCGGATGTTTTGTCGTGAGCATGAAATATCACGCGCTCTGGTGCTTTGTCTATCCTGCATCTGTCGTGCACGTTAATTCACATGTCTGTTGTAAGACCAGTGGCTGCGACAGATGGCAATAAATGGTTGGTTATTTCTCATCGATTACGCCAGTAAGTGGTTAATATTGCGGTTGTGCATAGCGCACGACGTTACCGAGTGGTTCTCACTTATTGTGCCCGTAAACATGATGGCTGTCTGGTTTAAAATCTTTTAAAGGGTGACCCCTCCGTTTCTGTCTCGTTTACTGATCGCCGGGGCACGGTTATGCTTGTTTTTGTGCGGAATTAAGCAGTTGAGGGAAAATCTGAAAGAGGACAAATTTGCCGTTTATAATTATTCTGGTTGAACGCTCCAAATCAACTATACGATTATGGGAGACACTGTAGTGGAGGGCTCGGACAACGTAAGACTGGACAGCGGCAATTGCGCCATCGGGTGGTGGTTTTTTATTCGCGTTTTCAAAACTAGATTGTAACCCGATAGCTCGTCGGAAGTTGAGCAACTACATTAATGAATAAAAAACCACTGACCGCGTAATGAGCTGCCACGCTAAGCAGTCAAGCAAATCACAATATTTCGTTTCATAATACAGCTATAGGATATCTTGAGCCAGAAAGACGAAAATTTGGGAATGTAAACAGATGTTTCGTTGAAATGCAACAAAGGTTGTAGCAGCTGAGAAATTTTTGAGTAAACGTTTCTAGCGCAAGTGTTTGCTACTTCTTTATCGCAAATATATCCAAGTATCTTAAGGTATACACAGGACAAGTATCTTATTGGATACAATCATCCTGAATGTTTCTCGTATCTCTAATACGTTAGGCCTTAGCACCTTGTATCGTATCACAATACCATTTCAAAGTACACTTTGTTCAACCATGACGGGAACCACTCGTCACTGGCATCAACATTATACAAGCGGCTTCCGTGGCCGTCAAACCTCTCTCTTCATGTGGGCCCAACTGCGCCAATGCGCCCTTGCTTACATTGCAAGCTCATGTTTACTACTACTCATACTGCTCCAAAAGGTTTACTTCGTATAACGGTTCAATTTGTTGCTGTCACATTCACTACTTCACCTATGTGGCCAAATTTACTCTTTTACTCTTGTGATGTTACTGAAGAGAGTCGCTTTAATGTCACGTGTACAAGAAATGCAAGATATACTTGTACCGTGACGATGGTAACTGTTTAAACAACCTGACCAGTGGTAAGCAGTGAAACCCTGTACAATCTCCGTTGTCCTTGAGTAGGGCGTTTAGAGTACCCTAAGTAGATAATAATTTCTACTAAAACACACTTGTACGACGTCTGTGCAACGTGGCGGTGTTGGTATACCGGGATGACACACGGCTCTCACATAGACTACACGTGGTACTCTAAAATGCTAACGTTGGGTTTTAAACACTTGAAAACTGAGCGCCAGCGTGCGTGTGCGTCTCTCCGGGGTAGTTTGAGAATACTACTGTAGGAGACGTCAACGTAATAGACATATACCACAAAGTTTTTGAATGTCATGATGAATATTGCGAGCTACCTGAAATACTCTGCTGCAGGAGTAGCGCGATCCAGTCATGTGAAAAGTCAAATTTTGATGCGTCGGGACGCATTTATGGTCTGCCAGAATTACAGTTCTGAGTGTGCAAACAGTCATACAAGTTTAAAATAGTATTATCCCAAGTAATCTTTAAACATGACAAGTGGTTGATTCTTTGCTGAAGGCAAATTATGATTGCTTTAGCGTGAGCTTATATTGGTTGTTAAAAGGATAAAGCTGTCTTGACATTCATATATTGTTACTATGTCGAATGTTACGGACTTCAATATTAGGTAATACCTTTATGGAAATACTTTCAGGATCCTCGTAGCCGATCCACTGGTTGTCATAGTAGGCATATGGACACTTGCCCACATCGTCAAACTTCTTCGTCCATGTTCCAGAGTTCACATGTGGACAGATCTGTGAAATGTAAGTGAAAGCTTTGATCTGGCTTCTGATTATTTATGCAGGTAATAGATGAACGAACATGTGCTGTTAATGAGCAGAAATTATCTCGGTTCTGGTCTTTCTATTGCTTATGACACTGGAAGCAAACCTTGGCAGTGAGCAGTACAGAGATGTCTTCACATACCTCATAGTAAGCGAGAAAGCCAGTAGCGTTCGTGTACGGGCCTGGAATACCGCCGTTCTTTTCTTTGTTGATGTAAGCCCTAAGTCCCGTATTCGACTTGTCACTCAACGTGTAAGTCCTGCCATAGAAAGGCACACCTACAACCAGTTTCTCCCGTGGAGCTCCCAGGCTCATCCACAGTTGTAGGCCATCGTGCTGCAATAAGAATGACGTGATCATTACTCTAATAAAATCATAAGTGATGTTTGATGCAACTTTACGGACTTTTCAGTAAGAACAGAATATTTTATTAACATCATCACTGAACTTTTATTGAACTACAGGAACTTTTTAATAAAAACAGAGAGACAAGGTTATTGGGAGGCAAACTTCGATAGCGCAGTCGGATACCTCATCCAACCTTGTGCATCTCTAATGAAGTGTGGCTTGGTAATTTAAAAATTGATTCTTGTTTGGAGATGTACGCCACGGCGTGTTGAACAGAACAAATCAATAACTTAAGGATGCACGGTGGTGTGAGAGGGTTCCTTAGATGAAGGAAACGCTCGGCGGATTTCGTGACTGACGATGGCATCTCTTCGATGACCGCTTGCCGATCGGGGTCCCGTTCATGGACTTCTCTGACTGTCTCCCAATCTTTTACTTTTCTCCCCATCTACACATCTCTCTCTCTTTTAATCCCCTCGTTTTCTCTTCACTCCTGAGTTACTGCTGAAGTGTCGCACTGTGATACAAACATTTGAGGGGCTCACACGTCTTTTTATTCGTCCTATTTGAAAATCACTATTTCCTTCTTAGATGAAGTGCAGTATACATTTGTTATTGGTCTTTAAGTTCTAGATGTAGCATCTCCAACCACAGTTAAGTAATTTCTGAGCTTTGGCGAAAAATGCTTGGTAAAAATGAGTATTCAGGAATTTGCAGTAATAAGTATTTTTCACGAGCAGTGATCATTACTCAGTATTCGCATTCGTATTTAGCTTCGTTAATGACTGAGACCATGCTCGATTCTTGAACTGTAGTTAGAAATTAAACCAACGCAAATTGTTCAGGTAAACCGATGCGAGGTAACGCGTGGCGGACGTAATTGTGCACCCACGCGATTATCGACTAGGAGCAAAATAATTATTATTCTTAATAAAGAAAAGCGGATCGCAAAGAATCAGTCTATCGTTCCGACAATGTTTACATTAAACATTTTTTGCTTAATGTTAATAAATAAGCAAATAAGACCCTCACATGGCACAGCACTTACAACATTAAGCTTCTCGTAAGCCCATTCATCAAACGACCTTCTGAATAGGGGACTGTGGACGTCCGTAAATCCAGCCCAATTTCCACGCAGGTCATATGTCATAACGTTTATCCAGTCCAGAAGCCTGAAAATGAAAAAAAAAATAGACAGATGACGGTTCAATACTTCGTTACCTTGGAAAGTGCAGTTTAAAAATTTCTAAGGAGATACTAATGTTGAATAAATGTTCTCATACGCATATTCGGAAAAAGTGAGGAAACAATCAATTTCTTGAATGATATGCTGATGGGGACAGTTAAAAATACACTTACTCTCCAAGCTCTGCCACTTCAGTAACCTTCTTGCAGACGGAACTTAGCAACTGGCACAGCCGCTGTCAATAGCAACTTGTATTGGTTGAAGACGGACCTTAATTCCTGAAAAAGTTAACGAAGACAGATAGCATCAATTGCACTTCAACCAAACATTTCTGTGCTAGACATACGTTTTAAGATGACAAAGCAGACCATATACATCGTGTTTAGGTAGAGTAGTTGATGATTTAGAGCACTAGGTGCTCTACGACGGGAGAGCTGTGTGCTGTCTCTAGCGGGTTCTCACACCGCACAACATGTAGCAACACTCATATACATCGTGTGTTTAGAAAAAGTAGTTGACGATTTAGAGTACTAAGTGTTTAGAAAAAAGGAATTAACGATTTAGAGCATGTGGTATACTCTACTATGGGAGAGCTAAAAGCCGTCCCTTGGGCCTCACGTGCTTGATGAGGCGCCTTAACAGTCTAAGTGTGTTTAGAAGAAGTGGTTAACGATTTACAGTACTTGGTACTGTACTATGGGAGAGCTTTAAGCCATCCCGTCTGTACACCGAAACGAATCCTGAAACGGGTAGAAGTCTAAGAGTTTAGAAAAAATGGGGTAACGATTTAGAGTACTATTTGTGCAGTCTAAGTACTACGCGGTCTTCAGTGCTTCGCTAATAGAGCCGAAGTAAACCCCACCGGTCTTTGTGCATACTGTACGAAACAACCTTCATAAGTACTTAGGCAATACCTTGTGCTTTTGAGAAATCTTTTCAAGAGAGTACAACCTAATTTCAAAATAATTTGATTACTTAGAAAAAAAGCCGCTTGCTGCACAGCGTTTTCAAACAACACTCGCAACAAACACACACACAAAACATGGTTGAACCTTCCGTCACTACAATGGGTATAACACGAAAGTGAATGTTCCCACGGAAGTAGCTAAATCTTCTCTGTACATTGGTATAGACGGTTTTAAGGTCACAAGCGTTGTATCCTAGAAATCTTCCGTTCACCTCATTTACCAGCTCCTACTGTCGAAACTGAAAGCACGTTTTCAATTTCCTTTCAAATGAAAAAAAATGTCTCTCTTTAGATTTTTCAGATAAAAGGAACGTACGTAAAGTTCAAGGCAACCTCTTGTAATCTTTATGTACCTCAAAAGAAGATTTATTTGAATATATTTTGCGAAATAAGGGAAAGAAAGTGTAGAAAATCAGCGGGCTATTTTCTAAAGCTTTTCTTGCCCACCGGTGGTATTGCGGCACATCTCATGACGAAACGGAATGCCATCAAGGCACTCTGTTTGGAAACAGTGAAAGGACGCTTGCATCATTAATCCTGAATGTACCCACGTGGACGCTTAATGATACATCTGCATTTGTAAGACTAGGATCTATGATCAGTGATTAAACAAACTCTTGTTGGCATAGCTTGCTGTAGCTGTAGTAGTTAACGGTGAGAGCGGAATCAAGAGAAAGTGGTGTGATTGTCAGGAGAGCCGTCCCTGAAGGAACGCTGAGCTTGGGTTAAGGTCGCCTGCTGGCAGCATGTTAGACTACTGATCGTCACCGCCGCACTATAGAGAGAAACGCAACGCACGTCGTATCTTAGGCTGTAGTGCCAGCCGTGACTTTTGCATGAGGCGAGCGTAAGTAGGAAACGCGAAGTTACAGCCAGGCAATGCAGAGCTATTTTTCGTATAAATGGATGCTATAAGCGAGACCTAAGCTAGTGGGAATGTCGCTACATGGCACTGTGTTAATGCATCGCCAATATTGCGCTTCTCGTTTTGGAAACGCCCTGAATGGGATGACTGCCGTAAAAAGAACGCGTTGGAGAACTAACCGTGAATGACAAGGGCATGAATCACGCTGCATTACTTCGCTTTACCATGGGCACGGTGAAATGAGAGTGTTCGATATAAAAGGCTGGTAATTTTATATAGTATGTGGCCTTGGCGCAGTCAGGTAGGCGTGCTTGGCCTTTGTAGCTACGCACTGAAGAGTCGCAGGATTCGACTCAAGTTGACGGAACTTTTCCTTTGCTTTCTGATCGTGCGTATTTTTCGCGTTGATTTCATGACGGAAATGCGTCGCTGAAGTCTTGGTGGAACCCTGGCATAAAACATTTTCGTGTTAAAGTGGTGCTAGACCAATACAATTATCGTATCACTAAACACTTCACGCTAGCTTGTTTAGTTTTGGAAAGTATATCCTGTATCTAAAGAGCGGGATTCAAGGTGAAGGAAACATGTACGAAGTCCTGATTAAGCCTTATAGGAAGCGTACTGTACGTGTTATTACTTCCTCCTGCTTTGGTCTTATGCATAGAAAGCAGAATTATACAGACGCATGCTGCCATAGCGCATCGATAATTGAAAGTAATAGTTTTAAGCTAAACCTTTACCATAGTCGTTAAACAGCCTTGAAGGTTATCTGAGTGGATGTCAACATAAGGGCCACCTTTTGACGACTGTGATCTACCCAGTGTTGGCGAGTTGGTCTTTCGTACTTTTTATTTTAGGTAATGAAAATAATGTATGGATTTATTTTCAAAGCTTTCTGTTAGTCATCAAACTGACCCTAAATCTATGTAATCAACTTTGAATATCATCGTTGTAGTGACAGTCTTGACTATTAAGATGGACAACTATATAATGCTGATCTCACTGTATCGTTCTTGCATTCGTTTTTGATCTCCTTATCGCGTAATTGTGAAGCAGAGTTGTCTTTTTATATATAAGAGATAAGGATAAATAATAATCCAATATGATGTGTGAGACAACAGCTCGCTACCGAGACACACTTTTAACCGTACACCAAACATTCGAACGCCCCTCCGACATGCAGGGGCTCAAAATAGCTGAGGACTGCGCTCGTACCCTGACCAACAGGAGAAAGTTGGCCTTGTCCGAGTAGGCACCGCCACGGTCGTAGGCACCTGGGTATTCCCAGTCGAGGTCGAAGCCGTCGAAACCATACGTCTGTACCCACTTGAGAGCGCTATTGATAAACGTGTGCCGGCGGCCCGTGGTGCTGACCATCTCCGAATACTTCTTACCGCCTTCGGCCCAACCGCCAACCGCGAGGAGAGTCTTTAGCTGCGGGTTCTTTTTGCGCAGCGCCGTGAACCGCCGGTATCCACCTGCGTCTCGCGGAAAAACACACACATGCGATCGCACACTCGTCTTTGAAGTTGCGCGCACGTCAGTGCGGCTGATAACTTCTCCACTAATAGTTCTGAGTGTTAAACACTAGTGGTGAGGTAAATATAATTTTATGGTGGTGGTAGTGGTTATAAGATGAGAAAGGCACCTAATTTCTGCAGCCCGGTCGGGAGCACAGCGCAGTGCCTAAATATATTTTGCGTGGAAACCACTGTAACATTGGGGCCGTGCTGAACATAATCAGAAAAGTGCTGTCGTCCAAGCAAAGGAAATGGAGGAGACTGTTAGACACGCGATTAAGGTCACTAAGTTGAATTATACTTTTGAGAACTGATCAAATTCTTCAACTAGTTAACGTTATTCTATGTGGAGGTCATGTATTAGTCTCAAAACCGCTAGTAGTAGCAAGGGCAACGTGCTAGATTCATGAGGGTCAGTTGGGTTCAATATACTCCAAATTAGATTTGTTATTTTTGAATGATCGTAACGAATATACGGTGGGCTTACCTTTGTGCTAACAGAACTTTCTAACAAATCAGCAATGCGAGTATATCAGCGAATATCAAGCGTTATTGGGTGATTTTTATGAGACTTGGCATGTACCTAGAGGGAGCAAAAATTAACTTTGTATTTGCAAAATAACCATGTGTAGGTGGGTACAGCAGCTAACGTTCATTTAGCCGTGTCCCGAAGCATACGTTTGACTATGTTCAACTAGTGAATGTTATTACAGAAGCGATAAAACAAGGTGCACCAAGGAGCAGTATTGGGCGCACACTTGCCTTAGATTTTCTTGTATGACTGCATAGCAAGTGTGGTCACCTCATAATCGCAAACGCATTGGCCCATGGGAAGGTTACCGTGCATACATTAGCGCTTGTATTCAGGTCCTAATAGTGCTCTGAACTGTGTCTATATGGCTCACCTTTGTTGAAGTCATACTCCGGGTCAATGCTGAAGAGCTCCCACGTCTGGTTGCTGAGACCGACGAAGGCGTAGATGAGATGGGTGCACTTGTCCAGCGGTATGTCCTCGATGTCGTAATTCATTGGTTCTGGTCGGTACAGCGCCCAGGCACTGTAGTAGCAAACGATGCGTCCTGGGTTCTTTCGGCTGGTACTGCCATTGTTTTGCCTCTGGGTTCGGAGGCTTGAGCCGTCGTCGGTTGCTGCAGAAGGCCCAATGTTACGAGTCTCACCAAAGCGTTGAAATACACTGGGGCGTGACGCAAGCACTCTTTCTGCCCTTTGTCATATTACGGGTACAGCATGGGCAAATCTTAAACCGCAAGGTTACAAATGACACGACTATTTAGAAGCACACAGAACGGCCGCGTATATTTTCTGTTGCTCTCGAAACTTTTGCACTGCTTCGAAAATGAACGTTCCCCCCTCAGACCGGCCGTACGTGGCCAAGTCACTGCTGAGTAACTATGTACGCAGGTAAGCTGTATTTCCATTCCTTCTGATTAAGTTTATTGATAATTGATGCATTACATGGGTCGAAACCATGATATGACAATAGCGCAAGCTTTAGGCGAACACTACGCAAGTATCGGCCACCTGGAGTTCCTAAACGTGTACTTATGTGTTATAGTCTGCAAGTTCACCGGCTTTTATCATTTCTTCTCCACCAAAGTGCAGCCGCAGTGGCCGGGATTGAAATTATGTCTTCCGGGTCAGCAGTCGAACACCCTAGCCACTGCACCAGAGTGGCGGCTACTTGAATTTATGCAGTGCTTCTTTCAGTCACATTGCCGGCAACTACTATGTTCTTCCTTTTTGTGAAATGATCCTATGTGTTCGTACAAGGAAGAGTGCTGGGCATTTATCAAGCAAGAAAGTTAATTAAATGAATTTGATCAATTCGCTTTCAATTCCCCGGTTTGAAGTGAGAAAAACAAAGTGCAGGAGAAATGAAGTCCCATCGGTTCAGTGCACAATACTCTACATAAAGTTACTCCCAACTGTTTTCCTTCTTTAGTTTTATTCTTTTTTACTACATTACTTGATTTAATTAACTAACAGTTTCTCGTGCGATGTTTAGAAGCAACTAGGTCGTAACAATTACTACTTACAGTTTGTGCAGGTGACAGTTCCCAAGAGCCATGACCAAGAGATCAAAAGGTGCAGAAGTCTTGTTTTCATACTGTGCAATTAGAGATCTGTTACTTTACTCTGAAAAGAAAAAGATAACAAAGCACTGAAGGTCTTTCGATGTTATAACATCCATATAAGTGGTTACAATTGTGTGATATTTGATTTCGAATATAGAGAATTTTAAAGCGGTATTTCAGACGGGCATTTTCGGTGTTTAGAGCACTGGTTTACGAAGCGAGTCGACGCAAGCGAACCATAATGGTATACGCACTACCATTCCCTAGTGGCAAAGCTTGCGTAAACAATGGACAATGGACAATGGACAACGTTTTGCTTACACTTCGGTAGAATTGGTTTCCGATTCAGACCTGCGCCACCGTCGACCAAAAGTCATGAGAGCTGCAAACCTTGCAGTGTACTGAATTTACTAAATGTGATGTATCTCGGTGGCAGCTGTTGGTTAACATGCGTTATACCGCCATTTGCAAAATCACACACGTCGATTTTACGAACAGGCATGGGCATCGGCAGGGGGTGCGAAAGGGACACTTGTCCCCGTCAAGCCTCACCACCCTCAGCTCATCAGCACTTAATCATACGGTGGTTTTGGGACGCTAAACCCCACACATCAATCAATCCGATCAAATCGTCTCATCAGCACCCAAGACTCACCCAAGCCACAGCAGTACTTTTCCCTTCCAATACTTGTTTACACTACCGCAGAAAACGTCCTGCCGACAAGCATGCGTACAGATACCTTTATTTCATGCTATTTCTCCAAGCATTGGAAGTCAACGCTATCACGTGAAAAACTCCGTGGGAACCGACATGACGCCGGTATTTCTCGTGGCTTTAGACTACCAGGTAGCCTTAGTAGGTAGTAGTGTTCTATGCAGCACATTTATTTTGTAACGTGACATCCAATGACCCGAGCTGCTCGTGTTTACCTAAATCAGTGTAATTATTCTGCAGATAAAGTGTTGAACCGTATGTAGGTCTTTTGGTATAACTTAACAAAGGTTTTAGATAGTGTTTAATGAAGTGGTGACCATAATGCATTCGAAATAACAGAGCGCGATAGAACGCGGGGCCAAAGAAGGGGACACACGCACCCCGTCTTCTATGGTCACCGACCTTGTTTCCTTTTGTGATGTGTTGCCCCGCCGCGGTGGTCTAGTGGCTAAGGTACTCGGCTGCTAACCCGCAAGTCGCGGGTTCAAATTCCGGCTGCGGCGGCTGCATTTCCGATGGAGGCGGAAATGTCGTAGGCCCGTGTGCTCAGATTTGGGCGAACGTTAGAGAACTCCAGGTGGTCGAAATTTCCGGAGCCCTCCACTACGGCGTCTCTCATAATCATATGGTGGTTTTGGGACGTTAAGCCCCACAAATCAATCAATTTTGTGATGTGTTCTTGCAGTGTTCTTCCAGCGCTTCCAAGTTTCCAAACTAAGTATCTTGCGTTGTTAACATTGCCATATGCCGATTTTGCGTTTTCCCCAAGATTGCTCAACTTTTCTCAAGCAAGCAACATCTAATTCACGTTTGTTAGTGCAAACTAAAGAAAATAACTAGCATGGTTATCGCGCCTACGCTGAGTATAGACGTATATTAAGATCCTCGTGTTTCGGTCCACAGGTCAATGCGATGCATTTAATTGTCTGTTCACTCTTTGAAATGCCGACGAAAGTAAAAGTAAAACTAAGAGAGGTTCAAATGCGGAACGAGACAACGTTAAATACCGGGCTACAATACGATGCGTAAAGCAAGCGAAGTTCTGCGAATTAGATCATTCCGCTGTTCTCGAGAGCCGTTCACCTTGAGCGTAAAATCTGTGAAAGCATTCAGAAGGTACGTAGTACCGCCATTGACCTTTCCTTTATACTTCTTTTTTTCTGACTTGTTCGGCCATATTACTCTATTTAACAGCTAGGAGGTGCTCTGGTTTAACATATCGTTTACTTGCTCATCAGATCAGTAATAGCAGGAGGTAAGTGCTTCCACACACAGGACGTCAGTAAGCGGTGGGTGATATCGTGCTCAAACTCAGCGCTGATCATTGCACCTCGAGTTGGCTTGAATGACCGAGACTACGTTGTCGGAAATAACGATGACGCAGCGAACCACACGTAAACATTTACCACCAAACAGCAGGTTCAATTCACAAGCGTTTGGCTGAATACACCTAAAGTAGCGAAGTAGTAGAAAGAACTGCACTTATCGAGACATGCTTGATACGTAAAGAAAGGTGCGTAATTAATGCCGTTCATTACACAGGCCTCAATCAGAGGCACAACATGCCGCGATCGATAAGTGCCGCATGATGGCTTTCTCAGAGTTCGTATGGTCCCGAGGTCACGGGAGCGGAGGTACCAAGTGCTGATCGTTTGATGACAGAATGCCAAAGATGCGCACATGAAGGGGCCACAGTGTAGAGTACTCACCCAAAGACGCGGTGGTTCGCGCGGAGTCACTGCCGGCTGCTCCTGTGGTGGCCGACCTTGCCGTCGGGGACGACGTGCAGTGGAGCGCCTGGGGACCCCTGCACCGCCAACTCGGCCCATCCGGTATTCGGCGCTCCAGCAGCCACGAAGGTCGTCGACCGCCAGGGAAAGGTAGAGAAGAGGCTCCTCCTCTGTCAAAGCATCCGGAGTATCGGCAGCAATGCGTTGCGTCGCCCAACGATTGGGGGGGCTCCGCATGCACCGGCAGTCGGCGAAGCACAGCCGGACGCCCGGTCCGAGCTAAACCGGCTCTGGCAGAGCGCTGCCACCACGGAACCACGCTGCACAGACGGTGGCCGCAGTTCCGCGCCACCAGCACGACACCGACTCGCGTGATGCCCCTCCTTTGGCGGGTGGTATAGTTGCCCCGCTGCGATTGCTATTGAGATGCTTGGAGCATCACGCTCGTGCCGTTTGCCCAAGACTTTACCCAAGAGCTTTCATTTTCTCGCTGGCTTCACCGAAGCTCGCATAACTGGGGGTTACCCTGTCACGATGTCCACAAATGGGATGGGTCCTTAAGACTTCATTTGTTTGCTTTCCTCTTCTGTCTACGAAGTGACGCACGAAGAAAGATAGCGCGTACATGCGACATTCCAGGCACAGCGCGACGTCCTCTCGAAGGCTGCCGAGGGCTCCAGTGAAAAAAAATTTTGCATGCATTTTTGCGGTGGTCTGCACAGTTCCTAAGCTCCACCGTGCAGTGCAAGACGAACGGCTTAGCGAGACGGTTTTGTGCCTTTTGAATTTACCACAGGTTCGACTCACGGAAGTGCCCTCAGGGCGCGACGCAGAGGGAAAAAGGCATTGGCTGCCCGGAAGAGAGGGGCAGTTTTAGTGCTGCTATCGCAACTCAAGTCAGTCTAGACCGGTTTGTCTTTTCGTAATTTGTTCTGTTAGTAGTTGTGAAGTCAGACCACGTTTGCGAGGTGAACCCTCTTCCTCCTGCTCAAAACCACTGTTGAACTCGCTACGTAGTTCCTTCATGCATGAAATCAAAGATTTGCATCCCTGGCATCAATGCTAAAATATTCGTTTGCCTGAAACATACTCCATGGTAGTAATTTCTTATTACCCCATTGAAGCTGATGAATTCTTGCAAAGCATAAAAATACTATACTTGGCATAGACTTGTCACTGTGGTTATCTCTGAAACTATGCATCATTCAAGTCATTAACACAAGGGTGCTAAAAAGTACAAATCTTAGATTAATTTTAATCAAGTGGCTAACATGCCTTATTATGGAGCGCCCAACTCTAATGAGATCTAAGTGTGAATCTACGCGCACTCAAGATGATATAGCTTTCAGGCGAGTTCACTCTGTTGGCTAGAAATGACTGATAATCACACCAAGGATCCAGTTACCATATTCACAAAGCTTGCCCTTCATAAGCATTGATTTCCATGAGATTGATGTTTTCACTAATGGCTTGTCCAGCACTAAGGTTATGCTTAAATATGCTTTTACTTCCGTCTCTTTGTAAAAGAAAGCCTTCATAGAACTCTGAGTGTACGTCTCGTTGACTTCCTTGATTTCCTTTTCTTATTTATTTATTTATTTATTTATTTTTATTTATTTTTTTATTTTTTTATTTTTTTTTATTTATTATATCCTCAAAGGTTCCGTATGGAACTTTACATGAGGGGTGGGCGATGAAAGGCGGTATCAAAAGTAATGGTTAAGATGCAGTTGAGTCTGCTGCTTGTATGGCATTCCTGAAGCGCGCAGAATCCCGGATGACAGCCGCCTCTTCCGGAAGGTCATTCCAGTCTCGGGCGGTGCGCAAAAAGAATGACTGTTGAAATGATGTGGTGTGAGCACGTGGCGGAATTACAGCGTTTGGATGACTTCTGCGATGGCCTCGATGGACTGGTTGGATGAGCTGGTTGTCACGTGTGGCTGAATGAAAGAATTTGTGAAAAAGGCACAAACGTGCAATATGACGACGAAAAGCGAGGGTAGGAAGCTTTAACTGGTTTTTTAGGTTGGAGATGCTGGAGTAACGGGAGTAATCTGAAGCAATGAATCTGGCTGCTCGGTTCTGGACAGATTCCAGAATTTTAATATGATTTGTTTGGTGGGGGTCAAAGACGGCAGATGCATATTCAAGTTTAGGTCTGACAATGGTGATATAAGCGAGTAGTTTAACGGAAGGTGGTGCCATGAAAATGTTGCGGCGTACGTAACCAAGGGCACGGTTAGCGGAGTAAGCTATGTGATCTATGTGGTCACCCCATGATAGGTCGCTCGTAAGATGGACACCTAGATATTTGATTGAGTTAGTAGCAGCTATAGGACAGTTGTTGATGGTGTAAGTAGCCGGCGCGTAGTTTCTGCGACGATGGAAAGAAATGAGCAATGTTTTATTCGTATTCAGAGACATCAGCCAAGTGTTACACCACTGTTGAATGCGTAAGAGGTCATGCTGTAGGGAAGAAACATCGGTAGAGTTATGTATTGGACGGTAAAGGACACAATCGTCGGCAAAAAGACGAATATTAGATTGAACAGAAAGTGGAATGTCGTTAATATATATCAAGAATAGGAGAGGCCCGAGGACGGTACCTTGGGGCACGCCAGACAGAACTGGGGAGAGGTTGGAAGAAAGGTTATTAACATGCACAAATTGTTTGCGGTTTGTTAAGAATGCTTTGATCCAGTTGAAAACATACTGGTGAAGGCTTAGACGCGAGACTTTTAGTAGGAGACGAGAGTGAGGCACCTTGTCAAATGCTTTTTCGAAATCAAGAAACAGTGTATCAACTGGGATGTTACGATCTATGTGGAGATGGATGTCATGCAGGAATAATGTTAGTTGGGTCTCACAGGAGTGACCTTTACGAAAGCCATGCTGGTTTGGGTGAAAAAAACTTGCAGATGATAAAAAGCTGGCAACATGAGAGAAGATGACATGCTCCATGATCTTAGAACAAACACTAGTGAGCGAGATGGGGCGGTAGTTACCTGCAGATAAACGATCGCCCTTCTTGAAGACCGGAATGACCTTCCCAATTCTCCAGTCCAATGGGACTTCACCTGTATCGAGCGACTGTTGGAAAATGATTGATAGTATGGAACCAGAGATATGCTTAGTATTTTAAGAATTTTGGCATTGATGCCATCTATACCACATGATGAAGAATTTTTTAATTGATTGATTACATTAACGATTCCCTCTGAGCTGAACTCAATCTTCGGCATTTGCGGAAAAGCAAAATGCGGATATTCAGGAAGTTCTCCGCTAGCTTCGTTAGTAAAAACGGAACAAAATGTAGAGTTCAAGACAGATGGAACGTCACAATCGGCAATAGGGGATCCAGAATTGTCACAAAGAGAAAGTGTAGTTTTATCATCCGGTTTCATTATTTTCCAAAAGCGGCGTGGGTTGTCCCGAAGCATGTTGGGTAGTGTGGTTGAAAAAAAGTTTCTCTTTGCCAATGCCAATAATGCCATGTATTCTTTGGCTGTACTTTTATACTTGTCCCAGGCTAGTTGAGAGTTCGATTGCCTGGCAGAACGAAACTGTCGTTTCTTCTTATTTTCATACGTTTTATACTGACATTAAACCAGGGAGAACGAGATCTTTCACATATAGTGATTGTTGGAATGTAAAGTTTGATCAAGTCCTGCATCTTGGATTTAAATAAAGCCCAATTAGATTCAGTGGATTGTTGATCGTAAGTTGAGGAAAATTCACTATAAAAGGCTGCTAAGTCGTTGTTCATAGCGACATAGTCGGCTTTGTCGTAAAGAGTCAGTAATTTCTTCGATTTGACGCTTTTTTTTATCATGTTACCGGGAAACGTAGTGTGGATCGCGGTGTGGTCACTGAGACCGCTAATATAAGAAAGAGAAGAAAAGTTATCAGGATGTGACGTAAGCAGAAGGTCAAGAACGTTGCTTGAATGATCGGTTGTGCGCGTAGGAGAAGTGACAAGCTGTGATAGACCAAACGTTAAGCACGTGTGTAAGAATTCATTGGAGACATTATCTGTGTTTTGGCAGGTGGATAGCTTGGACCAGTCAATGAAAGGAAAATTGAAATCGCCAAAAAGCAAGATGGGAGTACTAGGATTAGTAAGCGTTATCTCATGTAATACGTCATGAAATCAATTTTAAGTATACTGCAGACCTTTCGGTCCAAGCAGGAGTGGTACATAGGATATACAAACAATGATGTCACGTACAGAAAGGCACCGACACAATCCAAGAAAAGAACTATTGAATTCCAAGTAGCCAAAACAACAGTGTCATAATGCAACGTTCAGAATCATGCTAAAAGGACAAACCAGTCAAATGGAAAGAAACTGCTCACAAAAAATCCCTATTCGTACATTTGCGTCTATTGTTCAAAACTTATAGTTTTAATCTTTTCAATAAAGGATTCTGCGGTGTCACAGTTCACAGCTATTAATGGAAGTTGATTCCAATATGCAATTGATGACGGAAAAACAGAGTTTTTGTGAATGTTGTTGTGACTTGTGGGTAGTCGTATTGTCTTATTGTGGTTAGTTCTTTCCTGTTAGTCCTCCTCCGAAGCTGGCTAAATAAAAGTGAATCCTTATCAGTGATAGAAATATCATCTTGTTTATTAACAGACGGTAATTTATGAATACAGGCCCAAAAGCATAATTATTCTGAAACTCCAATAAAAGGATTTAACAACACGGAGAGGACGTAATAGCAGTGAAGGTGTGAGATTTACTTCAAACAGTAATTGAAGGATTATCCTACCAACAAGAACTATTGGTTAGTGCCCTGAACAAAGGCGGCAAGATGCTGCTTAGGTTTGATGCACAGAGTAGATGTACCATTGAAAAGATTGCACATCTGAATGACGTTACTGCGCAAGTTCAAGAGCTCTGCTGAAAAAACGCATCACCTACGGGGCAGAAAGTCATATGCGCCTATGCCTTGGATTGAGCGACAAAACCATAAGATGGTTTTGTTTGAATCAGAGCAGCACAACTGAATTCTAGCTGGGCACGTCAGACTTCAAGCTGGAATGGTGCTTCGCTTCTTGCGTGATGGGACTTCAGCTGGTGGAAGCGTAATGGAGGGGTCTTATATGACACTGACGGATACCTGTTGGTGATGTAGACAACGCGCAGTGAATTGCTAGCTAACTA